CTCCCGCCCCGCCCGCCCCGCTAGGTACACCCTGCATAATGGCGTTTATCCGCCCGATCTTGCGACCCTCGAGTTCTTCCAGCTTTTCCGAGCACCTCCGGCCAGCGACCACGCGAACGGACAACCTGACAACCGCTCACTCATCCGGTCGCTGTATACGATACCGCGCCGGCTATGTCGAGGCTGGGGCTGGCCGGTAACTGCATCGCGAGCATGCGGTCGGTATAAAGAGCGCGGTGGTCATGTCCACTGCTCTCCATCCCTCCAGGGCTTCTTCAACCGGTGTTCTTTCCTTTCGTCTTTCTTCCTTGCGTCGCTGCATCATCCAACTATGCAAGCCCGCATGATCTCCTTCGTCCTCGCTGCACTCGCCAGCATCGCTGTGGCTTCGCCTACGGGCACTGAGATGGCCAAGCGCGCCACCTGCACTGTCAACAGTGTTTCGAGCGCCAAGTCCCTCAGCAGCTGCACTGACGTTGTCATTGAGGCGTTCAACGTACCCTCTGGCAGTACGTACTATGATGTTTCAAGTGGTTTGGATAGAGACTGAAGTCCTTCGTCATAGACGTACTCACGATCGCGGCGAAGAAGGGCGCTACCATCACCATGAAGGGTTCCGTCAGCTTCTCCAAGACTACCTCCTCGGGCCCGCTCATCACCATCGACACCGACGTAAGCCGCCTCTACTACCACCATGTTACCTTCGATCTAACCCTATCCTAGGATGTCACTTTCCAGGGTAACGGCTACAGCTTCAAGGGCAACGGTGACTTGTACTGGGACGGCGAGGGTGCCAACGGCGGTACGAATCATCTCGTGCACCCTCCCTCGCTCGTACTCATGATGTGACCAGGTGTCGCCAAGCCGCACCCGTTCGTCAAGTTCCAGGGCTATGGTACTTTCGATGACTTCATCGTCAAGAACTCGCCCGCGCACGCCATCTCGGTCGGCACGTCCGGTGGCGCCGCCGTCTTCAGCAACGTTCTCGTCGACAATGTCGACGGTGACAAGAACGATCTGGGCCACAACACCGACGGCTTCGACGTCTCGGCTGACTCCGTGACGATCAAGGACTCGACGGTTTACAACCAGGACGACTGCCTCGCCTTCAACTCCGGCAACAACCTCGTGTTCCAGAACAACTACTGCTCCGGCGGCCACGGTATCTCCATCGGCTCAATCTCTGGCTCGAAGACTGTTAAGGGCGTCACGATCTCGGGTAACACCGTCGTGAAGTCCATGTACGGTATGCGCATCAAGATCAAGAGGTAAGCATACCACGGACGATGAGAGCGCCGTTCCCAGGCTTACCCATGTACAGCGACGCCACTGGCTCCGTGTCTGACGTGACCTACTCTGGCAACAGCATTGCCGCTGACCAGAAGTACGGCTTCCTCATCAGCCAGAGCTACTCTGACGACTTCGGAACCCCCGGCACCAAGAGCACCATCTCGTGAGCTCCTAACACTCACTTCCCATCATATCGAGACTCATTCGCGCATGCAGCAACGTCAAGTTCACTGGCAGCAAGACCACCGTCACGACCACCGGCAAGTACCCGCGCGTCGGTGTTGACTGCGGTCACTGCACTGGCACTTGGGACTGGTCTCAGCTCTCCGCGACTGGCGGCGAGTCCTCCAAGATCGTTCTCGGTGGTGCCAAGGTCAGTACTCCATCCCTCTTCTTCGAAGACTAATCTCATCTGCATGTCACAGATCTCCGGCGGCTCCTACTAAGCTCCCATCCCCGTCACTGAAGCCCTCAATCTCTCTATCTCTCTATCTGGGTCCCTTTTGGCCACTCCCCGCGCTCTTTACACATTTCTCACCTCTCCTCGTGGTCTCCTATCGGGTCTCACCGCATTCTCCAGACACGGTAATAGCAGCTCGATGTCATCGGGCGCTCCGCCCCAACACCTTGTCACTGTTGCCTTGTGCTCGGGGTCCTTGTACATATAGCAATCAATCTCGATGTATCCCCTTCGTTCGGAAGGAAGTGTGAGCCAAGAGTCAAACCACTCCGGCCCAGAGGGCAAGGACGTTGATATGAGAAAGTATATTGAACGACCCAGTAGAAGTCACAGCGCACGACTTCAGAGAACCCATACGCCCAGTAACGCGCAACGCCGTGCCGTCGTGGCGGTTTTGGAACCAATGCCAGACCAAAGAAGGGGATGAAAAAGAGAGAAGGGCGATCAAACGAGCGTGTGATATTTTGGTACAAGAATAGCTCGCGGCACAAGACGGATCGGGAACGCATATACAGAGGAATATGGCTATTAGTAGGTTCCGCCGGAGATCTACATGAACAAAGTGAGTATGGTAAACCGGCAAGGCAGAAAGTTAACATCGTGTGGGAACGTACCTTGGCACCACCAAGAACGATGTCGGCAGCCTCTCCACCTGTAGCGTCAAGCTCAGACCAGTCCCAAGTGCCAGAGCAGTGACCACAGTCGACACCGACAACCGGGTAGGAGCCCGATGTGGTGACGGTCGTCTTGCTGCCCGTGAAGTTGATGTCCCTACATGCAGCACTCAGTACGGTTGGCATTAAGAGAAGTGAGCGTAAACACGCACGAGATGGTACTGTCGGTCCCGGGAGTGCCAAAGTCCTCGGAGTAGCTCTGGCTGATGAGAAGGCCGTACTTGTCGTTTGCAGAGATGCTGTTGCCGGAGTATGTCACGTCGGAGACAGAACCAGTAGCGTCGCTATTTACTTATTAGCAAACCCAAGAATAACACCATAAGCGGCAGGTATAAGCGTACCTGTCAACCTTGATGCGCATGCCATACATGGAGTCTACAACGGTGTTGCCAGAGATCGTGACGCCTGACACGGTCTTTGAACCGGAGATGGATCCGATAGAGATACCGTGGCCACCCGAGCAATAGTTGTTGCTAAAGACGAGGTTTGAGCCCTACACCAAACTCGTGAGTGACACCCTGCGATGGAAGAGGAACACGGCTGACCGAGTTGATCGCAACGCAGTCGTCTTGGTTGTACACCGTCGAGCCGGTGATCGTGACGTCAGATGCGCTCACGTCGAAGCCGTCCGTGTTGTGGCCGAGGCTGTCGGTATCTCCGTCTTTGTTGTCAACAAGGACGTCGCTAAACGTAGCCGAGCCACCGGTCTAGCTCTGAATCAGCTACATTCGCTGAAGAGAGCGTCTGCGGATGCTCACCGTTCCGACAGAGATAGCTTGGGCAGGAGAATCCTTGACAATGAAGTTCGTGAAGGTGCCGTAGCCCTTGAACTTCACGAAGGGGTGCGGCTTCGCAACACCTGATTGAGAAAGCGCCAATGAGTACGCGTTGCATGATTTCCAGTCGCAGACACATACCGCCATTGGTACCCTCGCCGTCCCAGTAGAGGTTTCCATTCCCCTTGAAACTATAGCCGTTACCGTTGAAGTTCACGTCCTAGAGGAGACGCGTAAGCGACGACGCATTATATTAGTAGCGAGGAGCGCTCACGTCGGTGTCAATGGTGATCAGAGGTCCGCTGGCCGTGGTCTGGGAGAAGTTGATAGATCCCTCCATGGTAATTGTGGCGCCCTTCGCAGCGGAGATGGTGACAGTGTCTACAACATGCTCATCAGCAATGGATTCTTGACTATCGAAGGTAATATGTATACCTCCAGATGGGACGCTGAACGCCTCAATGACGACAGCACTGCAGTCCGAGAGATCGGAGGCAGTCGAGACGCTGTTGACCGTGCAGGTTGCGCGCTTCGCCATAGACGTGCGAGTGGGGGTGGCCGCCGCCATGGAGGCGAAAGCGGCGAGAATGAACGGTGTGAGTGCGCGAGGCTGCATGTTGAGTTCCAGAGAAGACCCGAAGAAAGATCCAAGGGATGAAGGAAGTGAGCTCGGATGTGCAGGTCTTTATAGATGCGCTGGTAGAGTCTGGCTGCGGTCCCGGTCCGCCAGATGGTGGGCGTACGTCGTCAGGATGCGACGACGGCCCGTTCGGCACGTACTCGTGGCCGTATTAACTGCACAATACACTCCGTCGATGGCCATACGCACGCTTATCCCACATGCGCAAGTCGTAATTATCGTCGCCAGGAGAACGTTCCAGTGAGCGAAGCCGCACAGCGGACCAGCAGCTCTCCAGGGCGATGACATTATCGAACTCTCTCTACGACGAGAGAGTCCAACAGACGTCGTAGACATATGCTCATCGAGGGCTGCAGGAGGTATAGAGACTGAAATTGGACATTATTCGGCCAACAGCACACGCAGAAGCGCTCGGCGAGGTTGTGTTGACAGGTCAGAAGGTAAGGGCCAGCTGGTCGCGGTACACACCGCGTCTATACTTAGCAAGGGTCGATCGGGAGGTATGAGATGCGCGTAGTGAAGCGTTGTAGAAGGTCCTGAATGTATTTATAGCGATGAAGCTTGAGAGTCCGAGAGAGGACCATCTGGGTCCGCGCAGCCGACAAGGAAAAAATGACACGTTGTTGCTATGTTGACAAGACCACCTATGATCGAGCCAGTGTCCATCCTCGAGCGCAAAAACGGCGCGTCTTCAAAGTAGTGTAGGTGCTTAACAGGAGTGCCATTTGACTGAGCCAAGAGAACAGGGGGACGGTGAACGTTTGAAGCAACTCGGAACGAAGGCAGCTCGGAAGCGCGGGAAACGACGCCACGACGCGCGGATCAGGACGGCCCGCTCAGTCCATGACTTCGATTTCGCTCTCACCAGATTCACGACCACCATCTTCCAGCTCGCAATCGGGCCTTTGACGGCTTGTACTCGGACAATACACCCCTCATACAGTTCATTTAGACTGAGTCTCGTGACTTGTTCATATGGACGGCTCTCGGTCGAAGGCTGGACGTGGCAAAGCTCGCGGAGGACGAGGTGGTAAATCCTCGCGCGGCAAAGCTTCATCGTCCGCTCGAGGTGGAAAAGGCAGCCGCTTTGTTCGAAATATTCCGAGCTCGGAAGATAGGCCAGAGAGCGCTATCGATGCGATCTCGGACGACAATGAAGAGGGCAGTGAAGAGGATACACGCACGAGTGCGCTCTGCGCTCCTCAGTGATCAGCTTGCGTGACGCTCAGTCCGAATATAGAGCCGCGGATAAACGTTCCAGTGGCGATGTGGGTGCGCGTTGCGCATTATTTTGGATATAATATATACTAATACGCCCTCTATAGGATTTTGATCACTGCGATCCACGACGGTGCTCTGGCAAGAAGCTATCTAGATTGGGGCTCATCGATGAACTACGTGTTGGACAGCGCTTCCGTGGGATAGTATTGTCGTGCGTGACCCAACTGACGTTGTGAGATACGGATTGACCAAACCATATAGGCCCAAGGGTAAACAAGTCGTGTCAATGGCGGATAGAGAGATCGTCGAAGCGGCGGGGCTTGCAGTTGTGGAGTGCTCGTGGGCAAGGTTGGAAGAGGTTCCCTTCGGAAAGATTGCCAGCCCTCACGAGCGACTATGTATGCAGTATCCTTCACGCACCACAGTCCATGCGTCATGAGTAACGTTTGCCTGACAGTGCCATACTTGATCGCGACCAACCAGACGAACTACGGCAAACCTTGGCGGCTCAACTGCGTCGAAGCTCTGGCGGCAGCATTCTATCTCACAGGCTTCGATGAATACGCGGAGCGGTTGCTCGCGGGTTTTGGTTGGGGCGCAGCGTTCTGGCCCGTGAACAAGTGCGACCAGCCATTCCCTACATCTTGCGCTGCTGACGAAGGACGTCACGCGATTCTATAGACATCTCATCGAACAATACCGTACGTGCAAAACGGCAGAAGAAGTTTCCGCGAAACAGGAGGATATCCTGAAAGGGCTAGAGGCGGATTATGAAGCTTCGCGGAGAGAAAGAGGTGCGCATCCCTCGAGAGATGGATCCTCGACCGTGTATGCTCACTCCTCCCTAGACGAGCACGCGGAAGAGGATGACTGGCTGGAGGCAAACCCAAATCATCGAGCTACACCTCCCTCAGAGTCAGAGGACGAGACGTCGTCGGATGAGCCGTAGTAGCGGATCGATCAATACATGCCGATATGTATACTATGCCCAGAGAGAATGACTACAGTGCCAAAGCGAATGTGTCGCGACAACATGTCGATTGGCAGTCTATTGTTGTACACGTGTAACTGATGTTTTTAGGTTTATATGGCCATGTTCAACTCCAAATGTTCTTGATGACGCCACATCCACTGCTCTACTCGTTTATGCATCTCTTTCGAAACGTCAACCCAACCGGCTCTCTCCCCATCCCCGATATCCTCGATGCGTAGTATCGACAATCGCTCCCCTGCCCACAGGCCCTTATCACAGATCGAGCCCATGTCTGTCGACCAAGCTGTCAAAAGCAGGGCAAGTGCTCCAAGGTCGAAGATTTTCTCGCAGTAAGCCCCGTCAACGATGAAAGGACCGCGCGTGTCGCAGTTATACTGCCAGCGTGGGATCTTGGCGATCACGCTAGCCAGGACGTACTCTTTTCTGGTCGAATTGCACAGAGCCCATTCACATGCCGCTGGGTAATAAGGTGCAGTAGACGCGTAGAACATGTCCGCACGGCAACAGTCCAGTTTGATGCGCGGCGAAGAGGTATCGAAGTGATAATCGCTTCCTCCTCGTCTCTCGCTCGACGCCTGAGATATATCGGGATAATACTTGCTGGTGAACCAGAAGAACCCCTCCTCAGCATCATCACCCTCAAACTCGAAGAACCCCAGTTCATGGTTCAGATCCGTGATGTCAAAGTCCTCGTCATCTGTGTCCCCGTCCATCAGCGGTCTCTCTGCACGTATCTCAGCAAGATCGTTCCGGACTTCGTTCAGCATGTCTTGAATGTCGCTGGGGCTAGGGTACTTCCTTCTCCCATGCTCGGGCAAGTGCAGGACGTCTCTCATTCTCCGTGGTTCTGCACCTTCAGGAAGATCTTCGAGGTCGTTGACCAATTCGCCCAGAGTGATAATACGATTGTCGCACCAGCTATGCTCAGCGAGTTGTGCGCGACGAACCTGGATCAAGCGGCGCCAACCTATAACGGAGAGGAGGCGATGGGAGACTGCGAGGGCGACAATATCCTTCAGCTCTTCAATATGCCCGAATACAAGATTGATGATCTCGGGTGGAAGAGACAATCGTCCAAGGTCGCGCCTCGAAGTATCGGGCGGAGGAAGGCTGTGATTGAGCATGAGCGCCGTTCTGCTCCATATCGCCGCGTGGATGCGCCCGCCGTACGTACCAGACTTTCGGTGCTTGAGAGCGGAACACTGGGCGCGCGAGGAGCAAGACGAGCCACTTATGGTCGTGGAAGATGAAGTCGAGAAACTGCTTGTATCCACGAAGTTGTTCATGAGAGCAACAACGATCTAGGTTGACGCTGTGATTCAACAAGGGACTCTATCAGATAATGACATCCTACACTTAGTAGAAGGTAGCACTTACAGTTTCCAGTCCTGATACTTAGGGTTTGTCATGGTAGTGCAAGAGTGGGTCCGGTGGCTGGGCGGTATAGCCGTATATATAGGGATCAGACGATGGTTATGCCTGCCCTTTGTGGGTGAACATTAATTGATCAACCACTTCAACGCGTGTCGCGATTGAAAGCATGCCATTCGGGACCAGATCCAGCAATGATGTACTTGGCAACATCGCTTGTTCACATTCACTCTAGATCTTTCGTGTGATCTGAGGTTCAACTCGCAACGTGTTGGCACAAGGAAGCTGTGAGGGCTCAGATACGGCCGAGGTGTCGCACATCTCAGGGTCTCATGGCCGCTACAGAAGACACCGAAAGAGCAAAGCGTTTGTCATATTGCATGTGGTCATTGGTACAGGCAGCGGAATGAGGTAGAGCACGGAATGATAGCGGCGCGTGGCGAGGATGAAGGAGCGAAGCTCGCCGGCAAGCTTAACGCCAACATGTGAGATATGGAGGTTCCGAGCGAGATGGCTAGTCTCACTCTCCACCGCCAATGCCTCTCATGTCGGGCGCAGTTCATCGCGCTGACTAAGTATCCACGGAAAGACGAATTATTATACGACGGCTCTGGACAACTGAGTCAGCTGTGTGTGCTTCGAAGAGCGGCTGAAGGAACACACCGGATAGAGGACGAGTTCAGCTAAGAGCGCGGAGGCCCGCGCCTCGTCGACTACATCACCTGAAAGATATGTTTACCGTAAGCACGTGAGCAGTGACATATCGAGGAATGAACTCATCTACTTCAGGTCGCGAAGCGCCAGCGCAACACCAACACCAAGACAAGGCGGCTCTGAGCGAGGTGGCCAGCCTCGCTCTTCACCACTATGACGATGTTGGGCGCAACTGGCGCCAGCATAAAGAATCGTGAGTGGAAGTGTACGCAAGGAGCGATAGAACGCGATGGATGGTGGGAATCGAACAGCGGGTGATCAGCGGCTCGATCGATCCGATGCAGGGAAATAGACTCCCAGGGTACGAAGAGGACCACGTCGATGGGAGATGATATGTCATGACGGGGATACAGGATGTATCTAAGCAGATGCGCCGCTCTCCCGATGACCTGTGCACCTATACGATCCGTTAGCATGGTGACGCACTTAATGTAGACGAATGTACTCATCTTCTTCGGACTTAAGCCGCATTGGCGCGACACCAGCACCATGACAAGGAAGTTTCGAGTGAGGTAGCCAGTCTCACTCTCCACCGCCATGCCGATGCTGGGCGCAACCAACGCGGGTACTCAGGGAGGTAATGTCTACAAAAGAGGCACAGCAATGTATGATACGAGGCGCGATAACGTGGATACCGAGTGGGTAGATATAGTGAGGCGCTGTAGAGCGTTGGCCGTTGGCGATGCCTTGGTTGTTACTGAGCTAAGGGACTGAAGCAAATCCGGTTGTTGAGTTGATGCCGTCTGAGCGGGCGCGATCGGGACTTGACGCAGAGACGGGCGAGTTGATGGGCGTGGATCGGCCCATTCGTCGTGAGTCGGAGTGTCGAGCCGATGTCGGTCGAAGTCGATGACCGCAAAGTCGCACCCGCACGACACAAGGTCGACGAGTTGCCCGCTCACGAGATACGGCTAGACATTGATCGGCAGATACACCCTGCCGACCAGGTCTTGGCCGCTCTCTGGGCACCCTAACGCTCAAGGCATGACGGTATCGGTGCGGCGCCGTGCACTGCGCTGCCCGTGTACACGCGATCCTATGCGGCGCAGGGGACAAAGGCAGGTCCTGTTGTGGTGGCGATGGCTGTGCTGGTAGTCGTGGCGGCCGTAGTTGTGTCGATTGAAGGCGTCGAGGTAGGTGTCCCAGCTGGATGTCGAGGGCAGGAAGTTGGTAGAGTTGGAATGAGTGGCGACCGAGGCGGACATGTATTGGATGCCGATGTTGAAGATGTGCCGGGCTAGCGGTAGAAAGCATGAGACACGGATATGATGCGGAAATGAAGAAGTATAGATGTTACGATGCACTCGGCAAGGTAGAGTTCCTCTTCAGGGAGGCTTGATGTCGCGGCGGGTGGTCGGTTGTTGATAGGCAAAAGCGAAGGTAAAGAGGTGGGCGCCTCAACTAACTGTGTGCGCGTGAACAAGCGGAACTGATCGTGATTGGGATGAGAGGACTTCCCTGGTACACAAAAGCTCTTTGCAGGGCGCCACGTCGACGCTTGCAGCAGCGCAGATACCAACGCTCTTCACCGAGGTGAATCACGCTGTAGCTCAGAGGTGGCCAGTCTCTTCCTCGCTCAAAACCCACGAGGTGCAACGTCGAAGGGCGCAAGGTCGGTCGCCTACTGCCGTGGATGTCGTGCCGTGTTTCCGCCGGATGGTCGAAGTGAAGTGTCGAAAGAGAAAGCGCCACGTCGTCGTACTGCATTGGATATGATGTTTTTGGTCTTTTCTGGTTATATGCGCTCGCCATGTCGTCGCTACCGCCAGCGTCTATGCGTCTCGTCAGCTGCCACAAGCTCCCCCGCGGCATCACGACTACAACCCCGCCGCACATGCATCTATGCCAATCTAGCACTGAGCGGCCACCCACATGCGCTCAGCACCCACGCCGCGCCGCCTGCGCACAGCGTCACCAGCAAATCCAACCAGACGGTCGAAGTCGCACGCCTTCTTCTCCTCGGCCGTCATGTCCTCCTCATCAACAACAGCGACAACGACCTCCTCCTCATCGCTCTCATCCTCGTCATCCATGTAGTAATCAGCATAATCATCGACAAATGCATCGTACTCTTCCTCGTAAGGAATGATCACCACGGTCTCAAGGTCATCGCCCGCCGCGAAGCGGACGACGCGAGGAGCCGGCTTGATGAACATCCACGAGATGGGGCGCAGGTCCGGCTTGGAGACGTTGCAAGGTACTGCCATCGAACCTGAGGAGACAAAGGGAACCAGGCCGAGATCAGTTTTGGGCTGGAAGGAAGATTGAGAGATAGGGACGTACCAGCAGGCGTGAACATCATGTCGAGACCCGTGCCCTTGGGAGGTTCGAGGTTCTGCTGGAGAGTGTCGTGGTGGACGGTATCTTTGCCGGACTTAGCAAGGGACGTCTCCCGAGCACCCGAACGGCGCGGACCCACAACCAGCTCGCGAACGCCCTCCTTAATAGCAGAGACAAAACGAACCCGGAAGCGACTAGCTTGCATTTCTGTAGCAGCATCAGCAATAGAGCAAGCGTAGAAGATGTGAGGGATACGTACCTGCCTGCCAGAGCTCCTGCGCGACGTCGAACTCGACGAACTGGACCTCGTTGGTGTTGTAGACCATTGTGGAGCAGCTATGTATAAAGTGGTTAAGAACGTGTAAACGTTTGGGGGGTGTACTCAGCAAGTGAGAAGCTTCTAGTTCAGATGCAAATGTGCGCGAACAGAATGAGGAACAGACGCGCACTTCGCGAGGATCTTATGCGGTTCTGCTGTTCAGGTTTGGCCTGGGAAAGGACCTCCTGAGCGCCTTCGGCACGTCGGCATGGATGGCAAGGCGGTGCTTTTCAGTCCAAACATGAATATCATATGCAGATAGCTAAGGCTCCTGAGTGTGCCAAAGATAGGACAGGAGGATGGGACCAAGAGGCAGAGGCGCGTTGCGCGACGGTAGTTAATATCGCAAAACGGAGGGCGCCGCCGCGCAGCTCGACATCGGATAGCACAGACTGTCACGGCGCAATTCATGACTTCGCGTATATGTGCATTGAGGGAGTTTTTCCTGTATGCGCAAGTCCGTCGTGTCGCGACGATGGTGGTCAAGAGCAAACCCAAAACGCGTCTTGCGGCGAGCGCGTCGCGGGACGAAGCGCGTGACGTCACGCGTACGAATTGCACCGTGCACGTGCCACGAAAACCTTCTTGTGACGTTGACCGCACGTATGACGGCAACCGTCAACGGCTATACAGAGCCCGGTTCGCGGACCGACCCTTTCTCTTCCGCGATACCACAGTCGGAGCTAAGCCTCTGCACGCATGATAAACTGGCTTTGAGCGGCGCGGTATGTGTTCCGTAGGCGCTAAAAGCCGAGGCTCGATGGCGGCTCAGTGGCGCGGCAAAATATCCGCACCAGATCGACTGTATACTTCCCTCAGCTTCCCTCGCACCCATGCCGTCCTCTCCAGAACCTTCGGATTCAATACCTTCTCTTGAACTCGAACCGCCATCATGACTACGACTGTACCGACTACTCAGCGCGCTTGGATATGCACTGGACGCGGCACACCTGACAAGGTTTTGCGTCTGGAGAAGAGCTATCCTGTTCCCTCGCAGTTGCAGAAGGGGGCTGTACTTATTAAAGTGAAGGCGGCTGCTTTGAACCCTGTGTGCGTGACAAGGTTATCGGTTTGGCTGGCCATAGACACTGACCGCTGTGGATAGCGGATACAAGATGATGGGTCTGCTACCTCTTGCAAGCATGCGGCCCACCGTCCCCGAGTACGAGCTCGCCGGCACGATCGTCGACGCAAACGGCACGAACTTCTCCCTAGGCGACGAAGTCGTCGCACACATTACTGTCCCCCTCGCGCACAAGACCAAACAAGGCGCGCTCGCGGAGTACGCGTGGACGGACGCGAACAACATGGTCAAGCGTCCCGACAACATCACGCCGACGCAGGCGGCTGGTGTTCCCCTCGCTGGACAGACGGCGTGGCAGGGTTTGTTTGAGTGCGGGGAGCTGCAGGATGGGCAGACTGTGTTCATCAATGGTGGGAGCACGGCTGTGGGAAGCTTCGCGATTCAGTGGGCCAAGGCGCGCGGATGTCGCGTCATTGCGTCTGCGAGCGGGAAGAACGAGAAGTATGTGCGGGATTTGGGTGCCGACGAGGTAAGTCATAGTCTATTGCATCCCCGAGTATCGTCGTACTGACTGGCGGAATGAATAGTTCATCGACTACACCAAGGAAGACCTCGCAACGCAACTCACGAAGAACCCTCCCAGCACGAAGTACCACGTCTTCTTCGAGACCGTCGGCCTCGCGAATGCCGATCACTACCTCAAGAGCAAAGCGTACCTCGCGCCGGGCGGCACATTTGTCACGGTCGGTCCTCAACCGCACGGACTGGGCGACTTCGGCCAGCTCCTGCGTCTCTTCGCCGGACTCCTCCAGCCAACTTGGTTGGGAGGTGTGAAGAGCAAGTATAGGTATGTCGTTCCTCTTCATACTATGCTGCTAGTCGGAAGCTCATGGGCAATAGACTTGTGGGTGTCAAGACGAAGAAGGAAGACATGCAGGCGATATTCGACTTGTTGGCCGAGGGTACGTTCGCGCTCATCTTTTTGATGAAAGGGTCATGGAATGACGAATTTCGCAGGCAAGGCTCGTCCGCTGGTTGACTCTGTCTATCCGATGGAAGATGCGCTCAAGGCGTATGAGCGCCTGCTGACGAAGCGCGCTACGGGCAAGGTCGTCGTCAAGATTGATCCTACCGCTGATTGAGAGTCAATGAAATCATGTACCTTGTTACTTGTAACGGGATATATACCCATATGTACGACTTCATGTGCTGTTCGAGTTACGTAGCATGATAATATCGGTCGAGTTATGCGTACCTACTCCTACGAATGCTTGACGCCGTTCGCCACACAAGACAGGGATAATATGACCAATAAAACCATAGGATTCACCAAAACCATAAATGACAACAATAAAGACGACAGCAGGCGGCATAGCATGGGATGTGCATAGGCGATCAACATAGATATGACGTGGAGGCGAGGGTGGGGGTGGGCGAGGCAGCAACACTCAGCATAAACTTAAAGAGCATAAAATTGATTTATTCTGTCAGGATTGCATGCAGGGTCAGCCACGTCTACATCATCAACTACTCTGTAGAATAGCCAACGACGAGCAGGCCAAAGATGCTCCGAAGAGCCTGCCCCATTTGCATGCATGCGACCTGCAGGCCCGAAGGTCTTCAAGAAGTCCGGAGCGCTGCACAATCGTGTCGTGTGCGAGCAAAGCTCCGGGTGAAGTGCGGCGCAGGGGAGCCGACTGGATTGCATTATAAAACAACCCCTGCAACGAAGAGGAGGGCGGCGGCCCGGTGTTGCTCCTGAAGATATGCGGAGGAACGGTGGCCGGCGCTGAGTCTCCTTTAGATGGCAGTAGTTGCGTGTTGCTGACGCGTCCCGAGGTGTACATGGCATGGCGCCTATAGCTTACTGCGGTGTCGTCAGCACACGACGCATGAATGATCACGAATGGAAAAGCGACGCACATTTGTTGACCTCCTACGCGGTAGCACGCGCGCCTAAGCGCGCTGCTCGCTCCACGAGGCTTCGCGCCGGCGGCACGCCTCGCAGACACGGCCCTTACGTTCGTGCGAGCGCCCGGCCATCCAGTCGAACCCGCGCCAATGCGCGATACCCGTCGGGTCGTCCATGTCGGGGTACCGCACACCAGCGCGCTTGCCGAGTCCGCGGAAGAGCGCACGCATGCCTGCGTAGTCCGGCACGTCGCCGAATTCGAGCCCACGCGCGTATTCGTGGAAGAGCGCGAATTCCCGCGGGAGGTTGTTCGTGAGCGTGCCCTCGGCTGCGATCTTCGCGTCGCGGATGAGGTCCCATGTCCCGCTGACCGTCGTCGCGCGGAGTTTCCTCCATGGAAGCGAGCCGCGCAAGAAATAAATAAGCATGTACGAGAGCGACTCGAGGTCGTCGCGTGGCGAGCATTCTATCAAATGGTCAGGATTGTCGATTGGACGGAGATAGGGGCACAAGACCGTACCTATCCCCAGATGCGTGTTTAGGGACGCGAACAGTGAGGTGCCGACACCGTGTTGGCCGTCCTGCTGGTAGGGTATGTGCATGTTCGTGCGCATGTCCCGGAACTTCTTCGCCAGGCCAAAGTCGATGACATTGACGAGGTGCGCGGCGTGACCGGTGCCCATAACAAAGTTGGCGGGCTTGATGTCGCGGTGAACGAGGCCACGTTCGTGAATGAATTCGATACGCGAAATCTGGGGTAGAAACCACAATGAGTATTGATGTCCGTGATAGGCGCCGGGGTGGCTCCCGTGCGGAGACTGCACCGCCGACGCTTTCGCAGTAGAGGAAAAGAGACGCACGAGTTGGTCTGCTAGCAATAAAACAGTCTTGAGAGAAAAGTGGCGATTGCACATCTTGAAAAGGTCCTCGAGCGACGGGCCGAGGAGGTCGATGACCATGATGTTGTAGTCGCCCTGCTTGCCGGACCAGATAATCCAGGGGACGCCAGGTCCACCCATGAGCGACTTGTAGATCTTCGACTCGTGCAGGAGCGGGCTGTGTTTCGCCACGGCTGGCTCGACCTTGATGGCGACTTCCTTGCCCGCCACCGTATGTACACCGTAGAATACAGTACCTAGTGCGCGTCAGTATGATATAAAATAAGGATAGTAAAGTCACGTACCGCAGCCTCCGACTGCGAGCTCCTCCTCCAGGCGATACTTGCCACCGAATGTGAAGTCCATGTTTCTACGACGATGACGGATCAGGACCATATTCGGTAGCGAAGAGAGGGTAGGTGCAGCAGGAGCGTCGTATGCAGCCCCTGCATACCCATATATACGTACCTCGAGATGCGTGCAGCAAGATGCTATTGACAGGATGATGGTGGAGGGCCGCCAGTCGTGGGGTGGGCGGACAGAGCCAGGATCGGCGCGTCAACCACAAGAAGGCCAGCACGTGCCATCTCGTTTCAACTTTCGGTGCCCCTGTCCGAGCATCCGAGGTCCCTGAACTTTCGTCCTTCCCCCATGACAACACCGGTTGCCTCATCCCAGGCAGCGTAGAGAGTACGCAACGATCGACCTGGGTACTTATCTCAGGACCTGAGAGAATATTCGATGTGTCGGTCCGGGCGCTTCGCTAAGCACCGTCGAATGCTTCGTCATCCGGCAAAGGCCGACGGCGAGAACCCCTGTCAAGTACCCGAACGGTTCCCTTCGGGCGTTGCACTATTCTCGGGAGCCGTGCAGTACTTCGCCTCTGCCTCGAGCAACGCTAGTGGTTATGTATGATTGTGGTGCTGGTCTGGTTGCCGCCTCCCCTCCGCAACGCAGCTCGACTACGGTCGATCCTTTCATCTGTGATCGGCCTTTGCGCTTTGCGGTCCGTCCTGTACGCTTCTCGGACTTCCTGCCGTTGCTGCCTCACGAATTCTACAAGCTTCTTGCAGTGCAAGCATACCGATGTACGAACGTGCCGTGGTTCGGCCGAGATGAAAAGGCACCTTGCGAGTCCGGTCGAGAAATATGCGGTACAGCACGGCCTGCAAGAGCATCTCGTGGCTCTGGCGATCTTATTCTCCATATCTTCTCCCATAAAATATTCGGAAGCACGGGCGACCTGTGAAAAGGTACGCGCTCGAGGCCTTTGGCCTGCGAAGGTTTGGGAGAAGGTACGCGCCGAGCAGCGCTTTCTCCTTCCCGAACGCGGACACGCCTGTCAAATGGCAACTTTGTCTTCCGGTTTGTCTCCACGTTCGTGCATTCGAAGCCTTAGAGCCGAAGCGAAATGCCTATGTACCGTCAGTCGGCACAGCTCCTGGCCGCACAACAGCCTCCTTAACCTGACAGGACCGCGCGGGCGCCTCCAGGAACAGCGCTCCCAACATACAAACATTCCTGTCCTCTGACTTGAAGCACAATATGCTAGAAGTTCTCGCGGACGCGGATGCATTTCCCGCTACATCCGACGGCATTGCTTGTATATTTTTACTGACAAGCCAGTAAGTTTCCGTATAAAGACACGCTCATGCAACTCAGCACATTTCAGGCTGTCCTTGCGTCTACCTCCTGTCCATCACCGGTCTTCATCCAGATCATGCTCCGACTCCTCACTCTTTCCGCGCTTGTCGCAGCCGCATTTGCTATCCCCAAAACATACATACGTGCGTCTCTTTCAACCCTGTATCCCTGCATTCTGGCTGGCTGACATGCACACACATCAACAGCCCGCGATGACACTTCGGCTTGCCCATCTGCAGTTGTCGCCTCGAGCAGGTCGGCTCAGGTCGGCAACGCCACCGTCCTCCTCGAGGTTTTGACGTGCGCCACCGGTACGACTCCCACCGGGCTGGTCGCGGACATCAGCATCGGGCAAGAGTTCGAGAACTTGCTTTGCCGAATCATTCCGATCTTCTGCCCGCCGAAGCCCTTCGACCCTCCGGCAGCCAGACCGACGCCGACGGTCACTGTTGTCCGCACGTCAACGGTAGTACGGACGGCGACTCTGGTGCAGACAGCGACGGAGGTGGTGCCAACGACTGTGATCGACTCGACGACCTTGGTCGTGCCCACCACGATCATTTCGCCTACTACTGTCATCGATGAGACGACGCTGGTGGTGCCGACTACGATCATCGCTCCTACTACCGTGATAGACGAGACGACGCTGGCGGTTCAAGTCCCCACTACTATCATTGCTCCTACCACAGTCATCGTGACGGCTGCTGCTCCCACCTCAACAGCTGCTGCTGCAACCAACGTTTGCGGCGAGCTCTGTACGTATTCAGGCCGTCTTCTGCTACTGCATCAGCGCTGAGCTTAGTCTAGGTGCTATCACTTGCAGTAACCTGGGTCCCCTTCCGCCCGTCTCAGAAGACTGCCAGGTCCGCTCAATGTTATTGGACGTTCAATCCGGTTACTGACAACCACGACAGACCGTCATGAACTCGATCCAGGTCTTCCAGGGCACCCTCGGTAAGTTCCTTGCCTTCGTCTACCTGCATGGTCGTACTGACGAAGCTATAGGGCCCACCTTCACCGTACCCTCTAACCACGTACAACAACTCACCTTCGGAACATGCCACTTCTTCTTCGAGAACCTCGGTCCTACTCCGCTTGAGGCCTGCTGGTCTGACCTTGTGAGTTCAACCTTCGCCTGGATGCCCTGGTCGACCACTTACATACGTCTGCGCACAGTCCCAGGAAGGTTCTCTCGCGTCTACTACGTGCTTCCCGCCAGCTCAGCCCGTCATGTCTTTGGCTGTTTGCGAGGCTCGTGACACTACGTGGGAGATTGGGTACGTGTTCCGCTTCGATACGTATCGAACCCAGATGCTGACTCGCGACCTCTGCAGGGTGAGCCATTCTTGAGAGAAGGTTGTGCGGTTGACTCTTGTGCCAAAAACGGGACGATGTTCTTTCTCATTGGGCTCTGCGCTTGTTTCAATCATTGGGTCTTATGTCAAAGCAATCTGTTGTAACACGTAGACACATCATCATCAATTCTTCATCATCCTGAGTTACCCATGTGTGAAGCACGAACTCCGAAAGGCTAAAAGTATGAGCGCTCCGTGAGCCTACACTGCAATATCCTATCCGGAGCCCTGGGTCAAGGCGACACTTTGACACTTGACAGACAGATACTGGGAAGAGGCGCGCCTTATGCGCATCGCCCTGACTCGCCAGGCATTACCTCGACCATCCTCGACGCCTCTACGCGCCGCCGGAAGACCTTCTGAACCTGATAAGCAACTTTGGCATCCAGCTTCTCTTGTTGGCCCTCGCGAGAACGCGGGAAAGGCGTCTTACCCCCGAGCGCCCAGCCATTCTAACTGCCCTTTCGTCACTCAAGCAATACAATACCTAGGTTCGTTCGTGACTTCGTTCCCGTCCGCTTCATCTTGAGCGCCGATGGTCTTCTTTCGTAGATGTTTCGTTTCACGTCGAGAGTGTCAAGAGGTGGCAGCTCAGTTCGAGCGCTTGCTGTGGTCGGAAAACCGCGTGTAGGGAGGTGAAAGGTGGAGTTTGCGAGCCTGCTGGACTCTATATGCTACAACATATTCTCCCTATACAGTATCGCCGTCGGAACGCTCAAGGCGCCTATGACACCCTCAGCACGCTCATAGGTACCATAGGTACGTCTAGAGTCAATACTATCCCCGGAGTGGACTCGCCGCCTCGCAATCACCGTCTGCGACTTCTCCCATGGCCTCACTGTCCTGATAGAGCAGTATCAACCGGGCCTGTTCGTCATAGCCTGGGCTCGAGTGTACAGGGACAACGGTAAGGTCGGATACGCTCTGGGTAGACCTCGGGAGCGGTTATGAGAGGTATAAAGGCTGGGTAGGTTCAGTGAGGACTCGGCAGCACTGCACCCCCAGCAGCTCTAGCACCGCACCGCGCATCTCCCGAGCTTCAACTTCGAGTACTTCGCAACTATGTCTTCCTTCGCTCGTCTCTTCGTCTTCGCGGCGGCGGTTGTCGCCGTTAGTGCATCGACGTGCACGGACCCGACTCCCGTGTCGACGACTACGATCGCTAAGGGCGTCGAGTTGTCCGTTATGAGCTGTGGTTCCGTTCCTCAGGCAATCGGTCGCCGCCAGGCCAACTCGACCGCGACGGACGTCTGCGGCGAGATATGTACGTCGTGGTCCACATTGCTGAGTACGACGCAATTCGGTTTTGACCGAGTATGGTATAGGCGTCACGTCGTGCAGCTCCGTAGCCGGCGTGCTTCCACCGACGACCGATGATTGTACGGTCATCAAGGAGGCCGTACAGATCTTCCAGGGGCAGTCCAGCTCGACCTTCACGGTCCAGCCGTTCCACATCCAGCAGCTCACGTTTGGCACGTGCCGCATGTTCTTCGAGAACCTGAGCCCCGTCCCCGAGCAAGCCTGCTGGTCGGACCTGGTACGCATCGAGTCAATATCCAGCGGAACAAAAGCTCATGTACTGTGGCACAGGCCAAGGACGCCTCCGTAGCAGGCGCGTCCTGTCTCCCGCCCACGCAGCCGGTCTTCTCCGAGGGAGACTGCAACGCGCTCGACCGCACTTGGCTCATCGGCATCAGCCACTCGTGAGTGTGAGTGGCGCCGAGTACGCGGTTCATACGCGCCTGACCTGACTGTGGTGCGTAGGAACGATACTGATACTTCCGGCTCGTCGTAAGCGCGAGCGGGAATCCTTAAGGAAGAGAGATATGGCATAAATTCGGTTTATATTTGATTTGGGGTTTGAGTGTAATGGTGTAATTGGGATGTAATACCATGTGGTGAACGAATCTGAAGGGTGAGAAACGTACCTATACCGGACATTGGCTTATGCTGATAAGTTCACGCTACAATCTTTCGAGCGTAAATGACACCTAAGGAAGAAGTCAGAGTCTGAGCCAAAACACGAGAATATGGAGACGCACCATTCATCCAATGACGCGCTAGCCGCCCCTCGGCGCGAACCGCCAAGAGACGGCATAGCGCCGAACACTTTCTTGAGGTAAAAGCTTCTTGTATGTTTTCACAAGATAACAACAGCAGTAAAAGCAGCAGAAAAATACAGCGAGACTTCACGAGCAGGGGATACGACTAGATGGGTTTGATCTTGAAGTGGAGGGAGATGAGAGAGAAGATGAAGCACTGAAGAGAGCATCAGCACAGTGGAGAAAGGTATCGGGAGAAGAGTGTAGGGCGTACCTTCAAGTCCTGGACGAGGTAGTAGAACACACGAAGACCCTCGGGGTCTTCGCTGTCGGATATATCGACGAGCGAACCGATCTTCGCGGTCTGTGGCGAGATATATTAACACACGCAGACTGACAGGAGATAATCCTGATGTGCTCACCTCGAACGCAACATGCTCATTCCCGATACGGACTTCGAGTTCTTGCTTGCCGACGACGTTCTTCTTCGGCCAGTTCGTGTCGTCCTCCCTACAAACCATCCAGTACATTATACCATCTACTGAAGCTAAGAGAGTAAACGCACTTGGTAATCTCGCTCGACTCCACGATCCTCTTAAGCTCCTTCACCACGAGCGGCCCGACCCACACTACACGCACGGTCCGATCAGAACATGCACTGGGAAATTGGTTGCATTGAGGGAATACGCACTCTCTTTACGAATGAGCGAGTCATTGCGGTAGTTCGAGTTGTTGGCATATCGCAGACGACCATGCGAGTACTCGAACTCGAGGAACTCGTGTCCGTGTTGGCCTGAATGGCCGGCACTGTTCGTGCGTAAGCACGGCGCGTTTTCGGGGTTTCTAATGGTGGTACATACTAGTAACTGTATATATTTGTGAGCGTGAGGTAGGTAGGCAGTGTGTGAGCGAGCTTACCGGAGGTAGAATGGGTCCTTGTCGTACGAAGTCATGGCAGACGGTGGTCAAGAGCACGAGTACACGCCGGCGCCAACTTTGCGCGCCTCATGGCGGTTGATCATGACGCGCTCACGTGGGATTTTTCCGTTCACGGCTCAGTCGCGCACTGGCGATAGTGCTTTCCTCAAGACATGTTCGCGTTCGTTGCACATTAGGACAAGACAATGTACTCTACATGATCCGCTTCCTCCGAGCCACACAGGAAGACGCTACCAGTGCTTGATCTCGCCCCACCTCACCTCCTTCCTCCCACTTCCCGCCAACCCTCCCTGCGACCCGAAATTCGCGAGCGTAGACGAGCCCGAGCTAGTGCTCGAGGGCGAGCTGTCAAAGAGCACATCCTTTGGCTTGGGCTCGGGCAGCTTAGCCATCCCGGGCTTCTTGTCGCTACCGTTGCTGAAAAGACGCGTGAGGAAGCACTTGCGACGGGGTGGAGATGGAGACGGCGATGACGAGTGAGAGTGCGAATGCGAATGAGAGTTCGACGAGGGTATAAAGGGTTGTTGTCCCATGGGTGGTGATATAATGATCGGGCGGTAGTTCTCCTTCTCCTTGTGCGAAGACCTGGGCCGTTTTTCCTTGGGTTTTTCCATCGGCGGATAGAACGGATACTGAGACGCATGGTACGCCGCGGCAGGATACGGCGCCATCGCCGCCACAGGGTACGCATAGAACTGATACGGATAAGACGCAGCGCTCGAGTGCGAATGCGAGTGCGACCGCGAACGGCGATGTTCAGACGAACTGGGCGCTCTCCATGTACCGCTTTGAGGACTGAAGTCTCCGTAAGGCAAGAACACTTCCTCGCGATGATGATGGTCTCGTCGCGGCGGCTCTTGAGAAGTCAGGAAGGGCTGGTACGGTGCGTCCCAGACGGGTCTACGCGACAGATCGTACTCTGACGGCCTGTCCCGAGTGATGGGCGCTGCGCGCTGATCCAAGCCCGCCGCGAAGTCTCTGAGTGATGGATCTGACCACGCCTGCGAGGCAGATGGGTGAAGGTAGGTGTAGTACGGCGCAGGCGCGGCGTGACCTTGTCCGACCTGAGGATCCGGCGGCGGCGGGCGGTATGCCGAGTACTGCGGCGGAACAGGCATAGGCAAAGGCTGGAAAAGATGCGCATGCTCGGGCCCGGGATACGTCGGCGGGCTTGCACTCTGATACGGCACCGGCGGCTGCCAGCTTTCTGCGGATCCAGATCCTGAAGGGGCGGGTATAGCATATGAATTGAAAGAGTTGAAACTGCGAGGCGTGGGACGGTCGTAAAAGTCGTGATAGGCGTAAGAAGGCGCGAGCTGCGGCCCAGGCGAAGAGCGGTTGCGGCTATGCCGCGATTCACGGCGCGCGTTGAGCTGCTGGAGGCTTGCGAATGGTGCGGCCATGAGGTGCAAGAGGAAGAGAAGGAACGGCGAGGAGCATGTTCGCGAGCATAAGTATGCGTAGAGGGTTGCTCGCCAGCGGCCATGTGCGCCGGGTCCGAGCAGCATGTTCACGACGTTACCATTCCTGGCGAATAAGCGCCAAATTTGACAGCTGAACTGGGCATTCAACCTTCCTTGTGCGTCATCACTACGGCTTCTCAGCATGATGCGCCACAAATGTTTAGATAAGCCCCAAAGCAAAGGAGCTCGATGCAATTAAATGAGATAGTAGTATACTCGCCGAGCTCTCTATGCCTTAACGACCTGCTCATCCTCAGGCTTGACCTCGGTCGCTGCCTTCGTCTCCTCGGCAATGACCTGCTGGCCCAGCTGCAAGATCTGGTCGCGTGGCGGCACCTTGCCGAACTTCATCCTGCCCGCAACGGCTTCAAGCTGATGCCTTCCAATGCCGACCGGGACGCGATGCCAGCGCGAGATACGCATACCCACGCCGGCCATGGAGTGCTTCTTGAGGTACATGAGCCAGCGATCGAGGACTTCGGGATCGGTGTCGTAGGCTGTGATAGCGCGCTTGTGTACCCGGCGCTCGAAGTTCTCTTGGCTCTTCTTGTGCACGAACGGACCGCGGATGACTGTCCAGAGCGTCTTGCGCGTAGGAAGTTTCGCTGTGCCGCCTACGGGCACGGCCAAGGCCGCTGCTGCGTGCTCAACAAAGTGGGTGAAAAGGTCGAGGAGACGCGGGAAGTGCGAGCGGAAGTGGATGGTCGCGACTGGCACTTTGTACGGTGCGGGGTGGCGGTAGGGTTTGAGGGAGGCACGGCCGTGGACGATGTCGGCGTGGTATGCGGCCTCTTCTGGGTCGGCGACCACTTCGCGATACGGCTTCAAGGTGACAGTCGGTCGTGGGGGGATGGGCGGAGAAACCTGGACGTGTCGCTTTGACCTGTGGACAGCATGTCAGCGTATACATCTCGAGTGTGAAGCACGTGCTCGTACTCGGTAGTCTTCTCTGCCTTAACCTCAGAGACAGGTGCGGCAGGTGTTGGCGCAGCTGTGTCTGCAGCTTTGGGTGTAGACTTTGCACTCGCCTCCGCCGTGGTGGCTGCCTTGGCCTCAGGCTGAGAGGTACTGGGCGCAGATGCAGATGCAGCAGTGGTCTCCTGAGCAGCAGCTGCTGCCTTTGCAGCGCGCGTAGAGGCCATGCGTTTGGAGACCGCCTTGTCTATATCCGCCCAAGTTACGGGCTCTACCAGAGTGGACGTTACTAGAGCGGGTGCAGCGGCACTAGGAGCTAGCTTGTCCGCCGAGCTTTCCGCATTGGCTTGAGCAGGCGTGGCTTTCGGCTTTCGTGCTCGTTTCGCCTTGGCCGGGCCTGGCGCATCACCGCTATATTTATATATGAGCATACCACGTCAAACGCGCACGAGACTCTGCACGCACCCGGAAGCCGTAGAGTTGAACCGTGCCCATACTGGCGCTGCTGCAGCGCTCTTTAACGGAGCTGCGGCAGCAGGCAAACGCGTCGCTCTCCGCGCCGCAAGACCGTACATAGCAGACAATGGTCGGAGCTACGGACGAGCTCGAGCGCGTCCAGCGAGCGCGCCGTGCGCGTAAATTCCCAGGACGGATCAGTCGGCCCGAAGTCCGGCATGAACCGCGAGTGGATGGAATGGTTCTTGCGTCTTGCGACCACCATGCCGGGCTCAGCACGCACACCGATGGACGAGACGTTTCAGCAACTGCAGAAACGGATGGTCGAAAGTGGTGACTGGGATAGGTGAATCCGTCGTGTGCTTGTGCAAGGTGGTGGGGAATGCTGAATGGAATGTTCGTTAGGATCTTGCTCGCGTTAAGGTATAGACTGAGCGATGAATGTTGGTTGGACGTTGTGCGCGGATCATGTAAGGGTACGTAACATTCAGAGCTACTCTGAGGGTGGTCCCTGACCATTTGTAGAGCGAGCGCGACAGAATACACCAATACGAGATCTTATTAAGCAGGTCTCCGAAACGCACGGTATGAGGCCTTCAGTATGGACGGTCGCATCATGACTGATCCTGGTGCTGAAGGACAAGTCCCGGACGCTATTAGGGCAGACTTTTTGAAGATCATCAAGAAGTATCTTGCTGAGGAAGTGCAGTAATAGGCTCGCTGCTAGTATGCATGTTGTTTGTTTGCTCTTTCCTTGTCGTCTTGCTATCGCACTGCTATGTTGTACACCCTAGAAAACTTGCGTGCTTTCTGGTTCCTAGCTCGGATCCGGCAAGGGTAATACTACTTCTACATGCTCTAATGTCTATTCGCGCAGTCTCACCAGCCACATCTATATGTCGGCGAACCCTAAACACCATAATCGCCTTTGATCAGATCATACACGAAGAGACCGTCGATGAGCGGCGTCAAGGTAGCCTACCAGCACCCGCCCACCGGGTCAGTACAGTTCCCATGAGCATGCTTCAATTAGAACTCACAGCGTATCCCAGATGAACCGGGCTGGCGTTGAACTCGGCTGTAGTTTCCTGACTCTTCATGGCGTATCAACACTGACGCCCACTTGCTGAGGAGATGAAAGCATGTACCTTGTATTCGACGACATACGCTATATCGTAACCGTGACTCTGTCCAAGGCCCGATATATCCTTTCCTCCTAGCAATGCGCTCAGCATCCCAGCAGAGCGCTGCATCGTGATGGCTCGGCGCACCGACAGGACCATAGTTGGTGAGGTTCTTGAGCTCATCATAGACCTTCATGAGGCCGTCGAGCTTCTCGCGGCGCTTCTCAGCGCTTACGGAATCCTTGTATTTCCAAGCGCAGATACGTGTCACGGGTGGCATGGTGCGGTGTGGATGAGTGAAGGAGGTGTAGGGTGAGGGTGAGTGAGAGAACGTCTACGTTGCTATATACCGCTCACAGATCCATTTTAGGGCCAAGACGTAGATCCTTCGCCTCAGCGCACGACTATCATTTTACTGAGAAGGATACCCGTCATACATGCCTCATGAAGAGGGTGCGTAACGAGTTCGTCTCTCGCTCGCTCGCTCTGATCGGGTCATCTAGGTGTCGCTCTCCGTCGGATATCCATCATACGCGCTGAACCCAACAACAGAACCAGGGTACATTGGGTTGTTACGTTCTCTGTGAATTGTATCCTACCCGGCTGCTGCGCTCGTTCAGAGAATGGGGGCGAGAAGAGGTACATGATGACCCCCACCCCGCCATCGGCTTCCCACGTGTGGCACCAAAGGTGGTGACCATGGGTACATATGTCACTTGACGTTGACACTACAGTATAGCGCGTCGTGCGCAGTGACAGAAACGATCGTCTACTCGTATTGGTCCTTCACTAAGTCAAAGACGAAGATGTCAGCAATGAAAGGCCTCAACTTCGTCACCTGCCATCACAATCGCACATCAGATGAGGCCAATACTTCCGAGGAAGGATCCACGTACGACCACGGTATCATGAAGAGGGTGTCCGTCAAACTCATCGCGCGCTTGTGCGCTCTACGCTGACATTCAGCCGAAACGGTCGCAGGCCATCTCGACTGAACGAACCTTGAACTCGACGGTGAACGCGAGATCTAAATCCTTATGGAGGTTGAACCTGGAGATGTTCTTGCCACCTGCGACGGATCGAGCCTCACTCATTGAACCAGTCAGGCGACACAGTGGATGTTGCGCACCAATGGGGCCATGGTTCACGAAGCGGTCGAGATCAGAGTAGAGCTTCAATAGGGCGCCGCGAGCCTGGCGCTTCTGCTCATTGGTTGTCCCTTTCACAAACTTCCATGCGGTGAGGCGAGTAACAGCGGGCATTGCGTGAAGAGTCGACGCTGTTGTGGATGGGGTCAAGTAGATGGGTCGATAGGTACTAGGGCTCTAGGTGTATGCCCTCACTTATAGTACTTCCGCGGCCGTGTGGGTGACACGGCTAACCTGCCGCTTAGCCAGCATGCGAAGTCACTGTAGCAAAAGAGAAAGGTTCATGTGCTCGATATATTGCAACGCTCGGATATGCTTAGACAAGATCGGTGATAAGGCCGGTGGTAAGATCGGCGGTACTTAAGACCGGGTACGAAGTGCGCAATGGTTGTTACAAGACGGTGTGACTGGCGGGTCCTTCACCGCGCTTGGTGCTCGAGTCGCGCAAGTTCGCAGACCGGGTACTGGGGATTCTTTGTGTGACGAAATGCCACGTCATAGGTATGTACATGGAGGCGTACATGGAGGTAAGACGCAACTGGCAGGCGATGAGCTCGGGTTGTCGGTCCGATGATCCGACGCATCTCTCAGAGTCATAGCTCGGAGTCAAGCATTGTTTGCGCTCAACGACGACAACAACCATGAGGAAGATTGATATTGCCTACTGGGTGCTGATTCCTCCGCTATCAATATATCTTTCGGGTCTTACGCTGTCGTAGACACGATGTACAGGGAAAGGGGAGTTCGAATACATATGGCATTTGACGTTCACGATACAGCATAGCGGGCGGTACGTGTGATGAGAAGACATCCATCTACTACCATTCATCCTTTACCAGATCATAAACAAACATGTCGGCAATGATAGGCATCAAGTCCGCCTAGTATCGTATCATCGCGTCAGATAAAATCCGCTGTCCCAAAGAAGGACGCACGTACGACCACTTTATCATGCAGAGGATGCGGGTCGAATTCGTCGCGCGCTTCTACGCTCTGTTCGGACAGTCAGCTTTCCGGTCTCAATCCGTCGCGAACAAGAGATGTCGCACGAACCTTGAACTCGACCGTGAATGCGATATCAAAATCCTTATGGACACCCAGCTTGGATATGTTCTTGCCAGCTGCGACATGTCGGTAATCAGTCATCCTATCATGCATCAGACGGCAGTTAGAAACTATGTACCGATAGGGCCATGGTTGACGAGATGAGCGACTTCAGTGTAAAGCTTCAACAGGCTGTCGCGAGCCTGGCGCTTCCGCTCGTCAGAAGTACCTTCCGTGTACTTCCATCCAGCAAGACGAGTGACGGCGGGCATTGCGGATGACTGAGTGAGGATAGAGGTGGAGTTCAATGTTGAGCAGGAGGGTTGGTGGATATAGATTTGCTCCAGCGTATGCCCTTACTTATAGTACTTCCGCGTGGATGACACTGCCGGGCGGGCCCGTCGCTCCGTCGAAACCCGACCCTGGCGGAAATCCATACGCCCTTAAGGAAAGTGCACAGTACCTCGGGTGGGCTCGCGATCGGCAGACACGATATTTGCCACTGCAGTGGGCACAAACCAATGCTCGACGTGGGGCCTTGATGTGGATCCGCGGATCAGGCGGGTACGACTGAGGGTTTTCGCCTGCGAACCTGGTTGGTCAGAGACAAGTCAGATCTAAAAGAGCTCATTTGCGCAATGTATTGCAACGCTCACATATGCTTACATGAGCTCTCGGAAAACCGCCGTTGCAAAGTGTGCGATTGGAGGGTGTCCTTGCCCGGTAGCGGCGGCTCTCGATCTCTCCAAGAACTCACTGATGCTACCACTGCCGGCGAATAAACAATCTCCTCTATCACCGCATCAGCAGCACTCGTCATGGAAGCTATTGGATGATCCCCGGAGATCTCATCGCTTCCTCGATGGCTGGCGGTAACAAGGTGGCATTGTCAACGAGCGTGAGAACTGCAATGCGCAAGACCCGTAAATCGCGTAAATCGCGTTAGGCCGCTGAGTTTGCACTGAAACTCTTGCGGTGCCTTCCACAGTTGATACACGCAATGTGGATGTCGGGCCAAGTGCCACGATGAGCGGGGTTGTATGCAGGCGGCCATGGAGGTGGGATGCGGCCGAGAATAAAGCGCAACCGCCGCGGCGCGGGCCAAGCGCGGGCGGGTGATCCAAGGCTCGGGACGTCCCGGCACGCCGCCCAGCGTCATGCATCTGTCGCTAGCCACTCGACAGTTGCTCGAAAGCTATGTTCCCGCTCGACGACCATGACAGGGATTGGTTCTTGCCGTGGCGATGAAGGCCACATCGAGCTTTCTGCTATGCACCATTCGCTTACACAAATCTCAAACCATATTTGGCCTTACTCGACTGATCAGCGATCTGATCCTCTAGCAGTACTATCGAATCATCGTCTTACTCTCCTGCAGCGTACATGAGACCGAAACTAAGCCCACTTCACTATGTTCAGAGGGACCTTTCACTTATCAGGGTACTCATACGCCATAGTCGTCCTTCACAAAGTCATATACGAAGAGTTCTGCCGCCACCTCTTGTAACTCTTTCTATATGCGACGTCAGAGCTTGGCGGTCCGCGCTTGTGAGTTGGGCACGTACTACGTATGCATCGTGAATAGGATGGGGATTGAACTCGTCCCGGGCTTCAACACTCTGTGACACTGCTTGAGTCTGGACGTAGGAAAGATAACGGCAGACTGCTTACCTTGAACTCGACAATGAAGATTAGATCAAGACCTTTCTCGAGTCCCATAGACGCGATGTTCTTTCCACCTATATCGTCGCCACTGGTCAAAACCCCGCCCATCACCTTCGCGTTCGACCTGAGTAAAACGCACCGATGGGACCATGGTTCACTAGATGAGCAAGGTCAGCGTAGATCTTGATCAGCCCGTCCTTGGTGGTGCGCTTTTGCTCGTCAGTCACTCCCTCTTTGTACTTCCAACCTGCAACGCGAGTGACAGCGGGCATGACGACCGATGTGGCAGTTGCAATCGATGAAGAAGGGTGCGTAAAAGCGAGATGAGGGCGGAGCGGTTGCGGTGGGACCGTACTTATGCGCGCATCGATAGCACCTGGCGAGAAGAGACCCTTCTGACTAACGCTTCGGGGAATTCTTGCGGAAGCAGCACGTAAAATCTCTACACGAAGGTAAATGGACTGTTGGGTGACTCAGACGCAGTTCAGAAGGCTTGAGTGTCACTTGCCATGGGAGAGGTAGACTCAGAGATCAGAAGGTAAAGAGGGTATTACACCATAGAGGCGTATGTTAGCATGTAATTGCTGGTCATGATCTTGAAAATACGGACTAGACCATGGTGGATGCTGAGTGAGCAAGAAGACAGGGATGAACCCTACGTTAGAGCGAGAGACTGAGCTGAGTGCATCATTACTGTTCAACCAGCTGCATCCGGGAAAGTCTCCAATGACCGCCAAGCACTGGGCCCATTGCCCAGCCAAAATCCATCGTCTGTCTCTTGATTACTGTTAGATGATTTTCTATGCCCTATATGGCTAGCGAAGAAGTCCGCGATTGGGCACATCGGGGTAAGAGACGAAACGCGCAAGCTGCTGTGCCGATCCATCAAGCATGCGCGTCACTTCACACCCGACTTGGCTTCGACCATAACCATGAGCACCACGTACCCAACGATTTCCTCTCGGCCTATACAGCCGACAGTACACACAACATGCTCTTCATGCCACACGCCTCTTGAATTTACCGTCCCGAATCCGATTCCGCGCCAGTCTACGAGCCTCTCCATTCGATGTCACAACTGCGCGTCAATATTCCCGCACGCCTTCTATCCAACTCAGATTGTCGGAAATTCCACACAGAAGTCTACTGTTGGATCCAGTGGGGCGTCTGGGTCAGGGCAAGGCAATGGTCAGCAGGCGGCAAGGAGAGGGAGGAAGATTGGAACGCAGGAGCGGCCACTGGAAACTGGCTACTATGACATTCTCGGCGTCGCAGTAGATGCCACAACAGATGAGATCAAGAAAGCATACCGTATGTTATCTACCGGTATACAGTTACACGCGTTCTTATACTATATCCAGGGCGACTGGCCATCAAACACCATCCGGACAAGAACCGTGATGATCCCAACGCCGAGGAACGCTTCAAGGAGATCGCCATTGCGTACCAGACACTGTCAGATCCGCAACTCAGACACAAGTACAACGAATTTGGACCGAAGGAAAGTGCGCCAGAAGGCGGTTATGTCGATCCAGAAGAGGTGCGCATGCTACTTCTTTCGTCGACTAGCCACTGATTCGGTAATGTCAGGTCTTCGGTGCTATGTTCGGCGGTGATCGGTTCCTTCCCATCATCGGCAATATCAGTCTCGCGCATGATATGAAGGCAGCGTTACAAGAAGCCGACGATCTGGAGCCAGATAAGCCTGTTCAGCGTGATGCGAAGGGTAGAGAGATCTTGTCCCCAGAAGAGAAGGCGAAGAAGGAGGCGAAGCAACGTGAAATCTCTGCGAAGGTGAATCATTACTGTGCATGTCGCGTAATCAAGAGCTCAACGTAGTAGAAAGCTGCAGTTCGGGAAGAGCGTGTCAAGCAACTCGTCGAGAACCTCGAACGTAAACTGGGGATATTCACAGAATCGGCAACCGGTCCGGATGACAAGGATGTCACGAACAGCTTCCGTACAATATGCCAACTCGAGGCGGAGTGAGTACCATTCATACTCGCTGTAATTGAGCCCACTCTGACTGTTCTTCAGAGAGCTGAAGAAGGAGTCATACGGCGTCGAACTACTTCAGTGTATCGGATACGTCTACCTCTCAAAGGGCAAGCAGTTCCTTGCTTCCAGTCAAACTTTCCTCGGTGTCGGCGGCTGGCTACACAACGTGCAGGGCAAATACCACACCTTCAGCGAAACGTTCGTCTATTTATTTAGTCCAGTATGACCGCTACTGATTATCTATCAGCGTATCTACACTACGCTCCGCAATAGAGCTGAAGGCGGTCTTCGACCAGATTCAGGCGGCGGAAAACGCCGGTAACCTCAGTCCTGAAGAGAAGAAACGCTTGGAGGAGCAGGCGGCGGAGAAGGGTATTCAGGCTCTCTTCAAGGTATGTGCGCTCTATAGTCCTCTACGTGTCGCTGCTTACAACTCTTCTCAGGGCACCAAACTCGAGATCGAGTCTGTTCTGCGCGAGACCTGCGATCGCGTTCTGGAAGCTGAAGGCATCCCGCGCTGGAATGCGCAAATGCGCGCCGTCGCTCTTCAGATCCTCGGTCAGGCATACGTGGACGTTCGCAAGGAAGAAGATGTCGCCAAGGAGGAGAGCGAGTACGTGCGTATTGAGACGAAGAATAGCCGGGCGCGCACCGAGAGCCAGGCGGGCAGCGGCCCACGGCCTTCGTCGTCATGAACGGCATGAACACGACTTGCGACTATTTTCTTTCCATGGACGGTGTCGTTCTGTATAGTAGAGCTCCGGTTCATCGCACTTGTATCATGTATTCTCGCATATACTGGCATCATGCTATTCACGACTTCATGATAGGTTGATGAGCGCGTCACCACTGCTGACTACAGCTCCCTCACGCACGCCCTTCGCATAGCCGATGACGGTCTTGCCGACGTGCTCTTGACCTGCGGTGATATTGATCTCGGTCTTCATCGCCTCTGCAGATACGATGCCTGTAAGTACACGAACGCCGTATACGCCCGACCTGCTGCTTACCCAGGATGACCAGAACATCATCAGCGCTCTTGATCACATCGCCGACGGAGCACTTGATCCTCCATATAGAAGCAGACAGCGGGGCCGTGACAGAGGCGTGAGCGCTGCTCGCATCCGTGGCGTCCTCGGTATTGCCATCTGCGCGCGCGGCTCGTTGTTCATCCTCCCACTCGCGTAATAGATCCTTCTCCCTGAGAGCATCGGGACACTGTCAGCGACTTCGGGTTTCGGGTTAAGAAACAGGATCGACCTCGCTTCCTCTCTCCCAACTGCTGCCGCTTGGCGTTCTCGGAAGACGTGTACCTCGTCTTTGATGCTCTCGATGAAAGAGAGGTACTTCGATATGGAGAGCTCGCACGGCTCAATCCTGAACTCGTACCGCCCAGCATCGAAGTCTCTCTCCAACTATCCGCACATCAGCATTGCAACCGTAGATACCTAAGATCCATAACGTACCTGCTCGTACTCTTCCTCCGATACGGGCTCGTAGCGAACTTGGTCGAATGGGTTGAGGAGCCACGGTTTCTCGACTGTGAAGCTCTTGCCTTTGCCCCATGTATGCCAGCCGGGTATTGTCCTCCCGTATAATTGATAGCCTCCCGGAGACTCGATGGGATAGATGGCTGCGACGACGCCCGCTATACCTATTGCGCCCTACAAACGGGTCAGCGAAGTAAGCAAAACGGTTGTGGTAAGGGCAACGAACGCGTGGGGTGAAAGTCCGCGATGGGTTCATCTTCTGTCCTACAAGACGAGCGCGCGGATCGATCTATGATCATTGTCAGAACAACTTGGTATGCCCGAGAATGATGGCTGCTCACAGGGACAAGGAATGGACAAGCGAGGTAGAACCCCACGCCAAAGACCAACTGAGCGTCACAAGTAAGCCTCCCAGAACGCCGGCTTGATTCGACTAATGAGCATACCCAATCACTTTGAGACAGCTTAGCAAGCGCCTCTTGCTCCGAGTCAAGCCCGTTGTTACTTGCCAGGTACTTGATGTTGCTAGGAAGGTAAACGGCTTTGTCTCGCGTGCTTTGTATGTACTTCTTGAGCGCTTCTCGATTCCAACGATCATCGAGGACGATAGGGAGGGTGATGCGCCGACCGGGAAAGACCATATCCGCGGTTGAAGCTGGTAGCGAGTGCTCGGCCTCGATGAGGGCAGTCAGTATGTCCTGCTGGGAGACTATGAGGGGGTCGTAGTAACACTACGAAGCCCATGATTCAGTACTTGTTATCAGTGTCGAGCTTCGCTCCTACCATGGTAGAGCGGATACACGGGCAGAAGCCGACTATGCCGTCGATGCGCTTCTTGCGTACGGCATCTTCGAAAGCATGAATCCTTGCTCGCACGGTCAAGTCCAACTCCATTGGCCCATACTCGAGTAGAATAGCCGAGTCCCCGGCCTATACGATAGAGCATCAGCGAGATGGAAAGGTGTTCTGTCTCTGGCTGAACAGACCTGACGAAACATGACCTTGGGGCGCTCTCCGTCTGCATTGATGACGTGCAGCCGAGGGTCCAGGGAAGCAAGCAGCGCCTCAGAGGGTGTCGGCAGCGATGAATCAAGAGAGCCGGCGTCTGACCGGGACGACTGTTGTACCGCTTGGCTGACAGTCTTTATCCAGACACTCTCGTCTCGTCTGATACTTCGGGCCGCTTCCCATGATATGGGTTCGAATCTCAGAGTACATCCTGGATGGAGTTGTCCAAGTTTCCACCTGGATAGCGCTCAGCGAGTGCAAATGCAAGTGGAGATGCTAAGAGATAACCAACATGTCACCCTGGATGACAGCGCAAAGGCACACGTATCCTCCCATATCCGGACCTTCGCAACCTAGAATGACAGGAGTGTCGCCGTTCACGTTGATGCTGCCACGGGCGTAGGCATTGTCTAGGATGTTCGAGGGATGCGAGCCACCGTCTCCGCCATTCTCGCGCGCCCAGAGGAAAGCCCGCTCGTGCTCGTTCTGACATGTTACAGGCGAGAGTCGTATACCCATTCGATTGCTACTTGAGCTCACGGTCCAATGCATCGAGTAGAACTTGTTGACGCCCTCCGGAGTGAGAAACTCGGTATCAGCGTGAGGTCCGCAAGCGACGCGTATCGACCAATGCTTCGCGTATGTGGGAATGAGAGATGCCGGGAGGGTGAACGGACAGGGTAAGGCTCGTGGCGTGGAATCCGCAAGCGCCAGTTGATCACCAGCAGCAAGTGCTCGACCTTGATATCCTCCAAAGCCCATGCTCGTGCTTTTGGACCCGAGGTACACAGGGATATCAGGGAAACCGCCATGAACGGCAATGTAGGTCCGGAAGCCGCCACCATCACCGCGCTCTCCTTCAACCAGCTCAAGCACAGAGTTCGCTTCGACATGTACTCGCGACCACATATCGGCCACCGGACACCCATCGATGTGTATCTGGATCCCAGGGTGGCCACCCGCGACACCGACTACTGCCTCCGACCAAAACTTCAGACGGACCGCGGCCCCGCGTACACTGATGACTTCCAGCGCCTCTGTCTCTTTAGGGTTGCCCACAAGTAGGTTGGCGGCACTGTGCGCTCGCCCGTCCATCGCGCCGGAAGGTGGGATGCCTCGCAACATGGTGGGCCGCCCAGGAAGGTCTTGGACTAGGGTTGATAAGCCCGGGTGTAAAACAGTCAGTGCCTTTGGGATGTAGGTAAAGGCCGAAAGGTATCGCGTAGTAGTCCGTCCAGCTTTCATGACTTCGCTACCGAGCAAGTGCAGAAGGTAGGGTATGTTCGTGGTAGGGCCTAGAACACGGACATTGCGCAGTGAGCCGATCAATCGCTGTATAGCTTCAGCGCGGCTGAGCGCTGTCACGATGATCTTGGCTACGAGGGGGTCAAAAAACGGCGTGATGGTAGTTCCAGTGGACACCTATGCGTTGCTCGTGAATACATGAGCGCTCTTGATGAGCGAAGGGCTACATACCCAAGTATCGATCCTCATCCAGTCTGGGATCCGGTGGCCATGTTCCCAGTCAACAAGCTGCAGCACGCCAGGCGACGGACGAAAGCTCTCCGCAGGGTTTTCAGCATATATCCGGACCTCGATTGCGTGTACATCGGGAACGTCAGCGTACTGGTCCTGATCAAGGGCAGTTTCAGACAACGAGGATCCGTTGGCTTCTTCTATGCCTTGTTGTATCATGAGCTCGACCAAATCAAGAGAGCCCTGTGCAGCCTCTGTAACACCATGCTCGACTTGAATGCGCGTATTCATTTCCAGGAAGAAGAATGAACTAGAGATATCATCGACGAGGAACTCGACAGTCCCTACAATGTTATCATCAGATACGTACAGGGCGCATATATGGTGCCGAACCTGCCGAACTGTAGTTCATGCTCTCGCAGAGGCGCACGGCAGCTGCGCAGATCCCATCTCGTAAGGCTGCACACGTATGTAAGGATCCGACTCGCGTACTAGCCGTAGTCAATCACCTAGTTTGTCTCTCAAGAAGGGACTCGGTGTCTCCTTGACAACCTTCTGATGCCGCCGCTGCAGACTACATTCACGTTCTCCCATATGTATCACTTTGTCTTTCCCGTTTCCGAAGACCTAAATAGCATTGAATGGGATGAAGTGGCTGCTCGAAGACAGGGATGACGAACCTGCACTTCGATATGATGAGCCGCAGGATAGTAGCGCTCGAGTAGAACAGCATCATTGTTGAAGAGACTCTACGTGAAACTTACGAATCAATGATGCTCTAGAGGGTGAATACTCTGTAGACCGCACCTGAGCTCGCGCGCGAGCGACATCGAAAGACTTGACGAGCTCGTCCTCCGTACTGCATGCGACCATGCCCATCCCCCCACCACCGGCAGAGGCCTTGATCAGGATAGGATACTCGAGTCGCCGAGCAATCGACACCGCTTGTTCGACATCGTCCCTCAGTTCTCCAGGGATCACCGGCACACCAGCCTGGACTGCAATATTGCGCGCCTCGTGTTTGAGCCCCATCGCCGTGATGACCTCGGTGCTTGGCCCCAAGAACGTGATCCCGGCATCGCGAACTGCGCGCGCAAAGGATGCGTTCTCGCTCAGGAAGCCATAGCCTGGGTGTACGAGTGTTGCACCATGGGTGAGCGCGACTTGAACTATGCGTCCAGCATCGAGGTATGGTCCTGCCTCGCTCTCTCCAGGCTGAACGGACAGTTCGACAGCTTCGGTTGCGAGCGAGACATGTGGCGCGAGAGCATCTGAGGGGGTGTAGATGGCGACTGTAGCAAGCCCAAGGTGCTGTGCTGTGCGAATGATGCGCACCGCGATCTCACCGCGGTTTGCGATGAGAAGCTTATGGTGGTCCATGGTGGTAGCCCTAGACACAGATAGAGTGAGCGTCGAGCATCTGCACAAGCGATGATGAACTTGCGCTTATCGTATCCGCTGGGAAGTTTCGGTACTAGCTGGGGACGTCACTCGTGATCCGTACTAAGCGGCCTTCCGATGAGACGTTCGCTCCGCGGTATAACGGAGATAGCTCACGGACAAAAGATCCCATGACGCTTGCCATATGAGAGATCGGCGCATGCGACAGGCTAAGCAGAGCAACTTGACCAGCAGCAACCATGACGGCTGACGCGCAGCTCAAGCCACTCAAAGCAACTGTGAACTGTGACATGGGCGAGGGCTACGGCTTGTACTCAATGGTAAGTACTGCCGTGTGCCCTCTGAGTCTTGTCTTCATGAGCGTTACAGGGAGATGATGAGGGCCTCATGAAGACCATCCACCTCGCCAACATTGCCTGCGGTTTCCACGCATCGTGAGAAACTGTCCACGCTAATAGACCAGAAGGACTTACTGTAGCAGGGACTTCAACATCATGGCGCAGACAGTACATCTAGCTGAGGAGAACAATGTACGCATAGGAGCACATCCATCACTGCCGGACCGACAAGGGTTTGGGCGGCGCGAGATGGCGATGGAGCCTGTAAGCTGTCTATTCTTTTCACTATATCGGACCATGTCTAAGTATAGCATAGGAAGAGCTCAAGAACTGCTTCACATACCAAGTCGGCGCGTTACTGGGCTTCATGCTTCCACGCCGCTTGGAACTGAACCATGTCAGTACCACTTCAAGTTGACTGTCAGACGTCGGGTACTGACCAGAGCATGACCCAGATCAAGCCGCACGGCGCTGTTTACGGTCAGATTGCGCGTTCTTTGCCGCTTGCACAGGCAGCGGTGGAAGTCTGTAAGGCATTCTCAACGCCCGAGCACAAAATCGCGTTCATGGGACTCGCCGGTACCGCACACCAGTACGCAGCTCAAGATGCTGGGGTGCCGTTTATAGCGGGTAAGATGAATAGACCGTTGATGCATGAAAGTGCTCATGCGTGGTTAGAATGGTTCGCGGATCTGGACTACAACGAGCAGGGCAAGTTGCTGATCACCAAGTGCGGACACCATTCGTCATAGCTTTCGGATTGAGGCCTGACAAGCGCGCAGAAAACATGCAACGGTACCGCTCGATGAGGTCAAGAAGCGCGTGCACACGTTGCTCAAAGAGCACAAGGTGACAACCAACACCGGAACGCTCCTGCCTATCGGCGAGGGCGTCGAAGAGGTCTCGATCTGCTGCCACAGTGACACGCCGGTGCGTCTGTTTTTTCACGATGACTCTCGAGATGTGGGCGTGGACTAACAGGACGATAGGATGCGGTGAAGATCGCGGAATGCGTCAAGCAGATCGTCGACGAGAATAACCGCAACGAAGCGTATTCGGAGCACATCCAGGCTGCCTTACATGCGAAGTAAAGCGATATCGAATGCAATGGAAGAGTACGATGAGCCTGGACAGGACTGAGTAAGAGGGTTGTTTCCGAGCCGAGCAAAAGAGCTTGCGACGCACGAATCAGATGAAGATGAACCGCGGTTCTAACACTATGCATTGCACGCGTGTACAGGGTCTATGAAGCCAACAACATTAAGTGCAAGAACGGCCAAACAAAGAGAACAGAGATGTAGACAGCGCAGGAGAATCGCATCCCGAGATTAATATGTGTACTTCTGGCGCTTCGACGCGCGCTCGCCATTCGAGGGTGCAGGCGTCCCACTCCCACTCCTGCCCCCCTTATCGCGCTTCGCCTTCGGGGCAACTTCGACGTCACCACCATTCTTCTTGCTCAGCGCTTTCCTAAGCACGCGCTGCAGCGCACGCTTCGTCTCACCATCGGGGAACGTCGTCGGATCAAAGTAAGGGAAGGCGTATTCCAGCAGCCACTCGGGCTTCACGTCCGTGACGGTACGGATGTACGGCTTCGTTGTGAGAACGAACTCGTTGAAGAGGACCCATTCGGGCTGGTTGTCGAGTCCACAGGATGGGTGCAAGCTTACGACCTGGGGTAGAGTGAGTGAGTCAAAGTACTGGTGAATATATATCACGCGAAACATACCTGGTTGTCCTTGACAGTGAGGTACTGGCCCTTCTCGCCCTCCTTGTGCGCGACCTGCATGAAGAAGCCCGTACACAAGGCCTGGCGCACATTGCGATACTGCTTGCTCATATCGCTGTACGTCTTCGTGTTGATTGGAAGATCGAAGCGCTCCATGATCCGCATGAGCTGACCGCGGACGTTATCCGCCTGCTGGAGCGCGCGCTGCGAGAGGTAGTTGTTCCAGCACCAATTGCGATCATGCAAGTTGTTCTGGTACTCGTTGTACACGTTCAAGAGCGTGAGATGGTCGCCGTCCGGCACAGATAGTGCGGCTTTGGCAGCGTCCGCTTCTTTGCGCTGGTTGTTCGGTCGTAGCCAAACCATAGGGACGGAAAGCATGGCCACTATCGTGAGAACCTCTTGACTGCAGCTGAACTCGGGACTGGCGATGAGCATCTTCGACATCTATCACCGCATGTTAGCATTGGTATCGAGGGTTTGTCTACCAGAACGTGCTCACCTGGGGATCCAACGGGAATTCGGACATCATACTGCCGAGATCCGTGAGGTTTCCGTCGTCATCGAGCGCAGATAGGTAGTTCAACAACTCGAGCGCGCGCATGAGCGTCTCAGGTGCCGGCGCGTCGACGTAGTCGAACCGCACGAGATCCTTTATGCCAAGCTTGACAAGTTCCAGCACCGTGTTCGCCAGGTTACTCCTCAAGATCTCCGGGTGCGTCTGGTCCTCGAGCTCCTTTACGAAGTCCTTCTCTGTATACAGCCTGAAGCACTTGCCGGGGCGTGTACGACCGGCACGACCGGCGCGCTGCTGCGCGGACGCCTTGGAGATAGGCGAGACGAGGAGCGACTCGACGCGGATACGCGGGTTGTAGACCTTCTGCTTTGAGAATCCGGGATCGACGACGTAGACGATGCCCTCGATGGTGAGTGACGTCTCAGCGATGTTCGTGCTGACGACGACCTTACGTCCCGGCGGACCGCCCTCCTTGCCCTTCGGTGCAGGGTCGAAGATACGCTGCTGCTGCTGTGGTGGTAGCGAACTGTATAGCGGGATACATTGCAACGGGCCGACACCGTCCGGGTCGTTATTTAGCAGGTCGTCCGCCTCTAATTTGATCTTCCGACATGCGTCCTCGATCTCCTCTTCACCCGTCAAAAACAGGAGGATGTCTCCGGGGTCCTCGGCGCGGTGGATCATGAGAACAGTACGGATAGCCGCCTCGACGTAGTCCGGCTCCGGCTCCTGAGTGTAGAAGATCTCGACCGGGTGCGTGCGACCTGGAACCTTGAAGAGCGGTGCGATTTTGTCCTTGATTGAGAAGTACTTCTGGAACTTCAACGCGTCGAGAGTGGCGGACATGACAATGATCTTGATGTCGGGACGACGTTCGACGACCTTTTTGAGCAGACCCATGAGAATATCAGTCGCGAGTGTGCGTTCGTGGGCCTCGTCGAGAATGATGGTGGAGTAACGTGAAAGGTCGGGGTCGTTCATGGCTTCTCGGAGAAGCATACCGTCGGTCATGTATTTCATGAAGGTCGTTCCGGATTCTGTCATATCCTCGAACCGAATTGAGTAACCGACCTGCTTCCCAAGTTGGACTGATTACATCGTCAGCAAACGAACAAGACGTGACCGAGATAAACTGCATACCGTCCATCTCATCTGCCACACGCTTTGCCACGGACATGGCAGCTACTCGCCTCGGCTGCGTACATGCAACCATCTTGCCCTTCGTATGCGGCAAGTCGGAGAAACATACGAACTGCGGTATTCTAGATAACAAGATAGCGATCAGTATTTTGTCTGTAGACTAGGTTATACTGGGAGGTGTATTATGCGTACTGAGTGGTCTTCCCGGAACCGGTCTCTCCGACCATGACGATGATCTGGTTATCGGTAAACTTTGGCCTGATCATCAGCTATCGGTGTTCTCTCGCGCGCGTGTGCCGGACAAAGGGATCCTGGGACGCGCAGGTTCTGACTGGCCCCCTCACGAAGGAGATGGCTTATGGCACTCACCATCTTGTAAAACTCGTCCATCTGCGCGTATACTGGCAGCTTTTGGCGCGCTTCTAAGATCTTCTTGTACTGCGGCGTGTGCGGTTGCTTCGTGAACGGGTTGACATCTCCTTCCTGAGGCAAATATTAGCACGCATGAACGCAGATGTTGAAAAAATGCGAGGCGTGCCAGAGCCTTCCGGACCTGGCTTCCTTCGACGCGTCGAGGCAAGAAGCCATATAATGGGTCTTTTGTCGCCATTTCTAGAGTACAAGGCAAAGGAGGGGACAAGGAACGGTGGTGGTGGAGAGAAGACAAGCCTCGGAAGGGACTCTGACTTTGCAGCGGTGCCGCCTCGCGTTGACCGGGAGCACGGACCGAGCTCCGTCCACGCGAGCCGCACGCGAGCTCATCCGGCGCGATGGCGCGGCGGGAGAACGCAATGCGGTCTGTACCAAGACAATAACGATGGGACGGTACATTATCCTGACCTGAAACGATCGAGCGTCGAGATGAGGCCCGGCAGCACTCCGTGCTCTGTTTGCTGCCCGTGTTGCTTGGGTGCGTCGACGCCGTAGCGAGCTCCATGCCTGAGGGCAAGCACCCGGTGCCACCTCCGCCCGCGGATCGACTTGAAGTCTCCCTGAGCGGGCCTCTCGGGCGAGCACCCGCGGCAGTCGAGTACCGTACGATCCCGCCGACGATCAATGTGCGCTACAAGCAGCGTCCGCCGCCTCTCAGGTTGCTGTACGTATTATTTTTGGTCCTTTGGCATGAATTGGAGTCGCGACGAGCGGTGACCTCTGGTGACCTCAAAGGAGCCGGCGCCCATCCGATGTGGGCGCGCACTCGCCCGTTCTACCCAATACCGCCACGACGGCGTCTTCGTTTAGCTCGTTTCCGGCCTCCGCGTCGACTCTGGCCACATCGGCACCGCCCGAAAGCGCGAAGTGGTCCTTTAGGTACGTGAATATATATTCTGCTCTCTGTGTGCTGTATTTCTCACGCCAGAATGCTCTTTGCGCAACGCAGTGCCTCCCTGTCGACATTTCCGGAGACTCCATACACGCCGTTATCGCCTACCAGTGCAAGAAGCGGCACTGTACAAAGTACGCGCGCCTCCCCAGACCTCAAATCATATTCTGACTAAAGTCCTCACAGTCGCTGATGCGCTCTCTCCACCTCCTGACCCAGAGGCTTACCTCCGCGAGCGGCCCTGGGACTTTGCCGAGTACCTACTTCTGCTCGGCATAGCGACGGTATTGGCACCGTCACATCCCTCTGGCTGGGTGCTCGTGACAGCGAAGTTCAACTCGTCTACACTCGGCCGCGCACCGCGCTCGAGCTGGGAATGCTTTCACCGTTGTGCGGTGCCATGGCTTGCCAAACCCGGCGACGTCCGTGCATGCGGGACATACCCACATGTAGCCGGAGTGCAGCATACGTACGAACACGTACATATGCAGGACTTCATCGACGACTATCTGGCGTTTGTCCGCGCGCTCGGTCACGGTGTCCGCATCCCTAAACCAAGACCAGGTAAGTCTCTTTCCAAGTTGTACGGTCATTCCGCATGTGCTTATGCGTCACACACATGGAAGCTCAACAGACGCGCATCAACCCGAACTTGAACGTACCATCTGGTACACTCGGCCACACCAATCAGCGAGGATCTTCGCCCTGGTTTCAAACAGCTGCCCTGCACACGACTATTGAGCGCATCCTCGACCGCTCCGAATCTCCGGGCGCAGGTCTACCCCCACATCTGTATCGCACACACGTACCACCGTCCTCCTCGACAGTCTAAAGGATCTCACCCCTTGCAAGCTCGCACACCCTGTCTACTTTCATCGCACTGTGACTGTTGCATCTTGCTTTGATGTTCGTTCTGTTTTGTATGGGATTAGGAGAAGCAATGTACATCACTAGAACCCTTCGCAAACGCCGCTAACGTGTGGACTTGTCCGTCTGGCTCGCCATTGGCTATCAGACGCGCGGGGCTCCGTCCAATGAGCTTCGATAGCTCAGCTGCTTTACACTTTCGCATCGGCGAGTCTCATGTGGCCAATTGTTACAGCCGATCGAGGGTTCGTTGTGCGCCTTTGTACGTATTACAAACTGATCCTCCTCTCTATCGCCTCTACCTTCACGCTCAGTCGGCCTTTTACCACACCCGCCGGCAATTTACTGTGTGTACACGTTTGTCTCGAAAGTTTCTACGTGATCAGCTTCCGCTTCGGACATTTCAGCCGTGTCCCCTCGATCAACTCAGTTGGTCGTCGTCGACGACGAATACGTTTGTCCGTTATGTTTTGCCGCGTATGATGTCAGCACAACGCTCAGTGGAGAGCGGGAGTGCGAGTCCATCGCAACAATGAGCTTGTTTGAGTTCGGGGTGGAGACATCGCAGATGCAGATGGACAGCTGAGGGCGGACCCGGTCAACCAATCCTCCTCGCCTTCTTCCTGAAATATCTTCGTCTTGCTCCGCTCATCTACCGCGAACGAAGCATAATTTTACGCCAAGCGCATCGGTTGCTGCATCCAGACCGCGCGGACCCAAAGGTAGGCGGCTCTCGCGCGCCTGACGCGCGCGCCCTGTCAGGTGGCGCGCGCCTCGGAGGCAATATCAACCATGGCCGACTTCTATAGTACCGCGACCACCCCCAAAGCACATATATCCCTAGCCCACTCCCCGCTACCAATTCTTCTCTTTCCTTTCCCTCCTCCCATCTACTTGGCTGCTCACACCCCTGCTACGATCTGCGTGCTGAACTCGAGATCTTTTTAGCGATCACGCGCTCACTCTGCACTGGCAATCACGCGCAAAACTATGGCCATGTCCCGCCCGCGCACAGCGCCCCCGCGCGCCATAAGCACCGAATCAGCCATCCAACGCCCTTCCTTGCGTCCGCGCTCCTCATCCGCATGCGACACCCTCTTCTCCCCATCTCAACCGCATCACAAACGCCACCGCCGCCCAGCGAAACACTCCTCGACATCATCCTCCATGACCGCACACTCTGCCGTACGGCGCATGAACGCGCAGAAACGGCATGGTCTAGGTCAACATACGAAGTCCAAGAGCGTGCCTGCGACGCTCAGCACGAAGAGCACGAAGACGCTGCAGCTTGGACGGAGCAGCTCTGTCGGGTCGATCACGTTAGGCGCGCGAACTTCTGTTAAGCGCCGTCGTCCCTCGGTCGTCTCGCAAGCGCGCGCGCCTGTCGTGCCGATGATCGCGCCCACACCGGCGCGCGCGGCGCCTCCTGAACTGTCCCGTGTGGGAGCGCGAAGTGTGCCTGCACGACGAACGCCGCTCGGTGCGATCTTCGACAATACAGACGAGTATGACATCTCGTTTCCGACGTTCGACGCGGCTGTGGAGTCGGACGAGGATCCCTCGGACAGTATGGAGAATCCCAAGCTGCACGGGTTCGAGCCGGAGGATAACGCGCTGTTCGCGCTCGAAGACGCTCGGGCGATCACGAGGAGGACGCAGAGTCCGCTGGCCAGCCTCGTTTCGCCGTCTTCGTCCTTCTCCCGCTCCAACTCGGACGACAGCGAGTTTTCGTCTCCTTCGGCCGGTCCATCCCGCATCTGGACGTCATCGCCTGAGCCGTCCATGTCAGGTTGCTCAACGGACGACTCGCAATCCGTACTCGCGTCCCCTCCGCAATCGTTCTCCTCTTCAATGTCCGCGCTCGATCATATTCCGGGGCAGTATAAGCGCGTGCGTGCACACCAGCCGGTGGTGGAGCGCGTAGCGGGCGCATGTGCTGTACGGGTTGAGCATTGGACGCCGCTCGCTCCGGGTTTGAGGCCGCCGCAGATGAGCATGAGTGTAAGCGACTCATGGGCGCGTCCCAGCAGCTTGCGATTCAACCTCCAGTCGCCCACGCCCTCGCATACCCCGCGCGGTCTTCCGTATCCACCAACGCTGGGTTCGCCACAATCGCCACGACCCGGTAGCCCCCTCTCGAAAAGCTGGTCGATCCAGAGCGCCTCATCAGCATCGGCCAGCCAAGATGAAGATGTCCGCGTACAAAGCCCATCCAAACGTTCGCGCCCGACGATCCTGCGCAAGCTGAGCGCGGAAGTGTTCAGCGGGTTTGGAGGTGGGAGTAAACGGCCGGCGATGCATGGGCGGGGGTTCAGTAGTCCTGCTGTGCCGAGGGTCGTGGATCTGAAAGAGGGCGTTAATGTTAATGAGGCGGGCGGGAGGCCGTTGAGTTTGCTTGTTACGGCTAAGGCGCCTGAGGAGAGGAGGGAGAGGAGGGGCTCTGGGTTTTTGAGGAGGAGGGTGTCGTCGTCTGCTACTGTTAAGGCGGAGAGCAGGAGGAGCGTGTTCGGGTTGCGGCTGAGGTGATGACGGTGCTGGTCAGGCTGCTTGGTTATTTGGATCGGACTTCGACTGTGCTGTGCGGTTCGAGAGAGGATTAATGTATTAGTATATAGCGTGCTTCATGTAATCCATGTACAACATTCCACGGACATGTCTATACGTTCAAACGGACCACAGCAACGGTCCGTATCTTTTGAGCATCAACGGCAGCGAGCGCCTCTACTGCTTTTTCGCCTCGCGCTCCTTCTTCCTCAACGCGCGCTTCCGGATATCCTTGTGCAGCCCATGCATATACTTCACCACGACCCACTCCGGCACAGAGTTCATAACAGCAGCGATAACCGCGTGGCTCCAGTACGGCGCCTTGCTCCCCGGCGAGACGCTGCTCAGCACGGAGCGGACGTACGCGCGCGGCGTCGGGATCATGGCGCTCGACTTGCGGATCTTGCTCATGGCCGAGACGACGAAGTAGGTGTTGGCGTGCTCGACGATTACGCCTTTCGGACCGAGCTCGGCGGCGAGCGCGTCGGAGAAGGTGCGGAGGAAGGCTTTGGAGGCGGAGTAGGTCGCTAGCATTGGTGAGGGGGCGGAGCCGGCGAAGGAGCCGAGGTTGAGGATGAGACCGCGGTGGCTGATGGGGTGACAAGGGCGTGTCAGAACTGTGTCTTGTGGGTTGCAGTAACTGTTAGAGACTTACCGCGAGACCATGCCGGGAGCGATGAGCGCCGTTACGCGTACGGTAGCTTGGACGTTGATAGCGAGGATATCGTGCATTTCGTCTGCGGGCGTCTCGACGAAATCAGTCGGCATCTCGTGCGATTTGCCAACATTGTTCACTGGGCGCAGAGGGTCAAAAAACCCTATCTATGAATGGAAGACACGTCGGAAAGCGCGTACCGAGAACGCCAACGTCCTTGGCCTGCGCGGACTCGCGAAGAGCCTCATACCTCGCATCGGGCGCGCTGGCAAAGTCAATCGTGAAGCATTCCACCTGGGCTTTGTTATTAGTCTTCTGCTCTGTATGAATAGAGAGAAACACGAGGCAAGAAAAGGGATCGTCAGCGCTGGGAACAGGCGGGGAAATAAATGATAAGCGCCGAGCTTACCGATTTCGCGCGCGACTGCCGCGAGCTTGTCCGCGTTGCGGGCTGCGATGAGGACGTTGAAGCCCTTGTCAGCGAGCTGCAGCGCAAACTCGCGTCCGATGCCGTCCGAGGCCCCTGTTATGACTGCGAAACGGCGTCAGCGACTCATCCGAAAGGACTGCCGTACGGCTACCCCGGGTGTGACCCCAGAGGCCGTTACAGCACACGCGTACGAATCCAGTAATTGAGAATGAACTAACCGGCCCAGGCTCCAGTGCCTGCTCCGAACTTCTTGAGCTTCGGATGGGTTGTTGGTGTTCAGGCGTTCAGGTGGAGCATGAGACGGGGAAGGGAACGTACGCCGATGCCTCCGCGCAAGAAGGTCCGGAAGACAAAGGAGAGGACGGAGGAGAGACAGGAGGCGAGCGAGAGCGCGCCTAGGGCTTGCAGAGCCAGGCCCAACCCCGGATAGCTGTGTACTGCAAAGAAAGGACGGCTGAGTTCCTCATACGAGCGGGACTGCGCGGGGTTCACAGCGGGCTGGAGAAGACTCATGATCATGGGGGTCCGTTGGAGAACGGCGTGCGAAAGGAGGAACGGGGGTGGCAATTACACAAAAGTGATGCGGATACGCGCGCTGATATCCCGCATCTCGAAAAGAAAATCGATGATTTAATGGCTCTTCCCGATGCGGTAATCGCGCGGGGTGATCAGGGTTGGGGCCGAGCCGGCCGTCCGCGATGAGGCTCTGAGGGCCCCTGCTTTCTGACCCTTACCCCGCGAATAGGGGCTTGCGCGCACTTATAAACCCGGAGGTCCATGTTGTCTCCGCTCCTTCATCGACGACCACCACCACCTCCTTACCCTTTCGCCGCTTAAACCCTTTGAACACAACCATGTCTCTCCCCAATGTCGTCATGACCGCGACCCGCACTGCGTGAGTCTGTACGCCTCGTGAAAGATAAGCTGGAAAATGCTAACATGTATTCGCAGTCGTCGCTCCTTTGGCTCGTCCGCTGAGCGCATGAGCATGACGGCCGTCAACGGCGAGCGCCGCCGCTCGTTCGGCACGACTGCCCGGGTCTCCATCTCGGCGCTTAACCCGATGGACAAGCTCCCGGCCGGCGTGAACCCGGACGAGTATGTTCCGCCGTACTACATTGAGCGCAAGCGCCAGCGCGACTCGATCGAGGACCGCAAGGAGCAGGAGGGCGGGCTCATGCACGAGCTCAACGCCGGCATCCTCTCGGACGAGGTCGCCGCGACGACGCGCCGCCTGGTGTCCAAGATCCCGACGGAGCACGAGTTCGAGGGCGGGTTTATGCACCCGTCCGGCTTTGTCGTTCCCCAGCCGGGCGAGGCCGGCGAGTTCATGGCCGACATGCGCGACCGCGACATGGCGATGCAGACTGCCGCCGTCGCCGCCCGCGTCAACGAGGACGCGGCCCTCCGCGAGCTCACCGGTGTGCACGTGCGCGCGCACGACCACAAGGTGCCCTACGAGATCTTCGCCAACGACGGCACGGTCCAGCACCCGTCCGGCTTTGTCCCGCCCACGGCCGCGCACGAGTTCAGCTCGGCGCCCTCCGAGGAGTTCAACGCCGAGGACGTCACGCTCCGTCTGACGTCCGGCCCTGCGGCGCGCACGCCCTGGAAGCAGGCATGAGTGTGGAGCGTTGACCGCCCCTGCCTTGCCCCTGTGTTCTAATACCCTCCCTCCACACACATCCCGCATCCACCCAGCTCGTCGTCGCTTCATACAGCTCCATGCTCCTCCTTCCTTATAGTATACGCATTCATTGCATCTTCATCCTTGTGTTCTCGGATATCGTCGTCGCATGTAGACTCGCCAGCATCTCTCGCATCCCCCCTTTTCAGGTTGCCGGTCCGTATTCGGTCGGCTATACGCCTCTTTGTACCATAGCCCCGCATGTCTTGTCTACATAGAGGAATGTCATCTTATGTTCTTCCTCATCGTCAGTGTGAGTGTCTGTAAGATTACAACGAACTTCGCTATCGAGCTTGCCCACCGCCGCATCAATGACATGGCTATCGCAATTTCCATTCGGGTGCGGACGGAGCCTGCCATTCTTGCTCCACAGGCTCGGCCCGTCCAGTCCCCAGTCCATACGATCCCCGCATACGAGAATCATCGGCCCTGTATAGATGTACTATGGCCATCGTAGATGTACGGAATATAGAAGTTCGAACATGACAGGGGGAAACGACAGATAGGGGTAAGTAAGAGTAAACGCCATCCACACACACATCAACAAATCCACGACCACCGGGGGTATACTGCAGGGGATAGCCTAGACGAGAATTTTGCGCATACGAGCGCGTTTATCGGCGCGCGGTACCGCGGCCGTAGCCGACCTGGAGGTTGTCGAGCTCAGCCTCGAGGGACTTGATAGCGCCGTGCGCGGACTCGAGGTCCTTGTTGAGGCGGTCGCGCTCGGCGATAAGCTAGAAGGGGAATGCGGTCAGATATGTGTGTCGAAAGTATAGGAAGGAAAGGGTGACATACGTGCTGCTCCCACTGGCGGAAACGGGCCTCCTCGGCCTTGACCTGCTCCGTGAAACGCTTGCGCAGCGCCTCCTCTTCCTCCTGGAACTTGGGGTTGTTGAACTTCTTAACCTTGCGCTCGCCGAACTTGCGCGTCTCCATCTGCTGCTGGCGGTAGTTCTCGTAGTGGACCTCCTCGGTCGTGCTGATCAGGTCGAGCATGAACGTGCGGATCAGCAGCGAGCGCAGCTTCTTGAAGTCGCAGTGCGCCTCGTTCTCGACCTCGGCGACGCCCCAGAGGTACTCGCGGCCCTTGACGACGCGGCCGTCGGGCGTCTGGACGTCCTCGGTCGAGCCGATGATGCTGAAGGGCATCGCCTCGGAGAGGATGCGGGCGTGCTCGGCGCTCTGCGTGTCGTCCGCCTCGATCGGGGGCTGGTAGATGCGGATGTTCTGCGCGGTGATGACGTCCCGGATCTGGAATAGGCGGTGTCAGACAGTTGGGGGAGATGGGAGGATGGGAGGAGAGGGCTTACGCGCTGCTTGAAGGTGAAGAGGTCGTTCTGCGTGAGCGTGTCCGCCTTGGCAATGACGGGGATGACATGCACGCGCGTCCCGAGGCGCTTCATAATCTCAATATCGAGCGGCTTGAGACTACAATGTCCAAATAAGTCCCGCGCCCGCCCACTGTCAATAAACGCCACGTACGTGTGTCCCGTCGGGCGAATAAAGTACAAACACGCGTGCACGCGCAAGTCCGTCTTCTCCACCCTCTGCGGCTGCTGCTCCTGGATCATATACGCTTCGTGCTGGTCGTCGATGAAATCAACGATGGGAGCCCAGCTGTCCCGGTTGTTGACGTAGTCCCCGAAGCCGGGCGTGTCGATGACGGTGAGCTTCACCTTGAACTGCTTCTCCTCGAGCTCGGCTTTGATGATCTCGATGTCCGTCAGCTTGTCGAGCTGCTTGTAGTGGCGGCGCGAGTAGTTCTTGGGCGGGGAGAGCTCGGTCGAGAAGAGCGTGTTGATGAGCGTTGTTTTGCCCAGACCCGACTCGCCTGCGCGCAGACCATTCAGTATCATGTAAGATATAGCTAGAATATATTGTACGCACCGACAACCATAATGGTGAAGTGCGCGCCGCGCTTAGCGACAATCTTATGCCTCTGCAAACACGCGGATATATCAGCCCAACCGCGCCTTACGGACGTATAGACCCAGCGCACCTGGTTGGGCAAGTTCGCAATGCCGATACCGTCGGAGGAGGCCATGGTCGGTGAAGGGAAACGATGAGAGCGTGGAGGGAGCGGCTGGTGGCGACGGCGAGGACGCTGGAGGCAACCGAACACTCAAACTCGGTCGTTTCGCGAGCGCGCTGGCCGGGTAAGGCCGTGATGGGTGATCGCATCAATTGCTAGAAGCTTGGCTTCGCGACTCGGTCTTTGACCGTCATGTATGTATTTTAGCCAGTCTGAGTGGTGGCAGTTATATAAGAATCTGCTACTGCGTTTCTTGCTCAGCTAGACACGAACGAGTACGAGCGGCTCAGCCCTCAACGTTCAACTCTCGCTGCGGCTGCAACCAGCGACGTCAGCATCTGTTCTCTCTTAAACTCTCATGTCCTCCGTAGCATCGCTGCACGGAAACGCGCCGTACGGCTCTCTATCGTACTGTTGCAGCTCCACGACATGAATCACGAGTTTACTGAAACGCGCACTACCATGCCGATGCATCGCACGTCTGGAGCATGTTCACATTCCTCGGCGTCGCCGTCATATATGAGAAAGAGAACCAGCCATACCCAAACCGCCCACCCAGCATCGCCATCAGCATCTCCTCTCACATCTGCGATACCTCCAAAGCAACATGTCTTCTCCCGCCGCCTATGACACAGTCTTCCTCCATCCCGACGCCGCCACGTCTTCGGACTCAGGCAGCCCGCTTGCAGAATCTGGGCAGGCGCCGAGTCTCTCTCCGTCTCGACTGCCTCGACTAGCCCGCTCTCCCGCTATCCGGGAGAAGCAGCCAACACGCTTCAATCCCTATGCCCGCTCGCGCAAGCCTCGAGCCAGTCTTGCCGTTCGCGTCGACCTCCCCAGCCCTGCGAAGACGGGTCTTCCGACTCCAGTCAGTGCCGCGCTCAAGCAATTGGAAGACTATGACTACGAATCGGAGGCCGAAGTCAGCATGCTATGCGGCGACGAGGATACCATCACCGCAGAGGACACGGGTGCGGTTGACGGCGAGGATGAAGCTGGACCGAACGATTCGATTGCGAGCTACTACTTCTCAGCCGAGGCTGATAACCTCGTGGAATCAACGTCTTCGACTTCTCTCACTCCCGACTCTCCGATTCTCGCTACCCCTGTTGCGCCGAGCGTGGACGTCAGCGATAACATGCTCGCTGCATCGTTGGCCTCGAGCGCCTCCGACCCTCTCCTACTCGTCACCCCAGCCGAGAAGCAACCCACCACCGCAGAGGTCGACGCGACCCCAACCACGCTCCCTTCAACGGGCTCCCTATTCCGCTTCCCGTCCACGATGAATCTCAACGTCAACCGCCTCCCCTCCACCCGCTCGCTCTCAGACACCCTCGCGCCCTACTCGTCCTGGCCCGACGCTGCAGACTCGGACAACGCGAACGATAACCTCCCGCTGCTATACAATGCAGTGCTACGCGGTGTCCGCGCGGAAGATCTGCGCGCGATTGCTGCTGATGCTACGAGTGAGGAAGCGGCGGCGGAGTGCATCGAGCGCGTTGCGGGCGAGTTATTTGCGTATGCGGCGCGCGTTGCTAAGGGAGAGGCGGAGGGGAGCAGGACGGAGAAGGAAGGAGAGGGGATGCGCGGTGATGAGATCCCGGGCCAGGCAGGAGTCGAGGGTGGCGGATGGTGGTTCTCGGATGCCTGGCGGGCATGGAGGACTGGTCCGAGTGCGACAGATTGAATGATTCCCAGTGATGAGCATCGGGTTCGGCTCAGCGCGCATCGGCGTCTTTCTCGCTCACTAGCTCAACTTCCCGTATCGTCCTATCCATGTACACGCTTACAATCCCGCCGTAGGGCTCTAAACACCGAACCTCAATCATCATTGTCATTGTCAACGTACTTAACAGTGATGGGGAAAATGTTGAGATGCTTCTGGGTTGCAGATCAATTGCAGATGCCATGGTCGATCCGCGCGGCAGCCTGAGCTTGCGTATCTTGTCTCTTACCCCGATATGTTGATTAGCAGCTGTCCTCGCACAGCCAGATCAGCGGCCGTGCGCACGCGCCTTACATCGGTCACTCACCTAGTTTGATACGTACGCGAGCAATACTTTGCTTCGCCACATCCCCATACGATCAGATTCGCACACTCTGAAGGGATTCTGTGCTTGCTTCTCGCATCCTTCGACGCCCAACGACTATGGCATCAGTTCTTGAGCAGCTTCATTTCCCACTTTCGGATCTTCGGCGCTTCATTTCCGGTGCGCCTCGTGTGATCGCGGATCCCCGCCTCCCGCCCCCGACTCCCCGCCCTCGCTGCCTGCCACAGCGAGCATGAGAACAGATATACAGTACCGTAGAATAGCTATACTAATATATATATTTGAAGAGCGCCGAATGTGCGCTCCCAGATGACGTCACGTCGGGGAGCACCCGCTCGCGGGAAGTCTCTGGAAATATTTTTCTGATTTTTCGCAAAGTTCAGACGTCCGGCACTACTTCTTGCGGGTCTCCGAGAGTCGTAGTGGACCTTGGCAAGTGCTTGTGTAGCTATGGGCGAGAACGAGAGACGCCAGTGCCAGCGACGCGCGATGCGCGCCCACCGTGGGAAATACGCCGACGACGCGCCTCGCGCCGCGCGCCGCGCGGCTCTCTCGTCGTTTGTCTTCGACCATCGTCGTCTCCATTGCCTTCCAGTAAATAATTGCATATAGGCAGCTTGGCTCACCGCGAGGACTGGGTGGTCTGGCAACTTACTGTGCTGTCTTTTACCGCGACTACTCCCCCAGTACTTAGTCTCGAGACCTTGACATCCCATGTACTATGGGTCGCCGTCGATGAATCGATGACCCACAAGTCTGATGTGGACCGTCGGTGTTTCTGCCGCTATCACTCATTCAAACCTGCCGGGCATCCCAGGGTGACTTACCACCCGTCGCACTCTTCTCAATGCGTCCATGACGAACTGATATATCTTTTGGCCAAGTTCAGTAGGCCTTCAATCGTGCACCTGCAATGTGTGCGCTCAAGGTGGAAGTTGATGTGATCATGAAAACCCGACTCACTGCCTGGATTATGCTTGCTATGGGTCGTTGCATGATACATAAGTTGCAGATGCATTAGGGGCCTCGACTCTGCAGGTGACCCCGACGAAGATCTCAGCCGTGCTCTTCTTTGGTGTACTGATCAAATTTCAAGACCATCGGCCGAGTATCTTTGGGAGCTGTCAGCGATTCAATCTACACGCCCGCTTGGCTTCCTCTTCTTCCCTCGGCGCATCGCTTTCCGTGCCATACTGCACTTCGGCTCTAGTCCAGAGCCTGTAGCAGGACTGCTGGATCGGTACGCAGATTCCTCTCTCTACCAACGCCTCGATGCGGTCTAATCGTGTCGATGTAGTTGTGAAGACCAGTCCAGCAGGACTATATTCATGGGATCCTGAAATTCTGGCAGTTCTCCGTCCTTTCGTAGGTGCGACTCGGAGAGGAGATGACCAACGGGCAAATACGCAACCTGTGTTATATGATACTCTGTTCAAGCACTAGCCTACCGAGGGCTCCAAATCCAGATTCTTTGCTGCCCTTAGACTGGGCCGGTGTCGATACGCCGCAGTGGCGTGATACACTCACTCGATCCTCCTAGTATGAGTTATGTACGTCAAAGACCGCCTTTATCGACGATACAATTCTTTCGCTCATGCACAGCTACTCTTGCCAGTGGGCCTCTGAGATAGCATGTAGCATAGCGTTCTGGGTCGCTTCCTCGGGAAATGCACGTACGTATTTGCAAGGTGATCTTCAATGATTTGGCAGAAAAGACGACGGGAGCCGCGCGGCGCGCGGCGCGTCGTCGGCGTATTTCCCACGGTGGGCGCGCATCGCGCGTCGCTGGCACTGGCGTCTCTCGTTCTCGCCCATAGCTACACAAGCACTTGCCAAGGTCCACTACGACTCTCAGAGACCCGCAAGAAGTAGTGCCGGACGTCTGAACTTTGCGAAAAATCAGAAAAATATTTCCAGAGACTTCCCGCGAG